CAGTTACTATTACAACTGTAACCCAGCAACTATTTCGAACAAAGATGGATTTTAATGAATGTTTTATTCATCCAAAGTCATTCCTTTTTAGACCCTAACATTTATACAGAACTTGTAGAACATTATACAAACGAGGCTTTATGTTTTCCTGTTAAAGTTATGGATTGGATTCCTATGGACGGTTCATTCTCAAAGAATACAGATAGTTCAAGTGCAACATTTACAGCAGCTTATACGCCTATTAATGTTAAAAGTATTTGGGCACTATTTAGAAAGAAAGACAACTATTATGTTAATTTTGAGAACCCTAAGTTTAAATATCTTCAGCTTTCCATGGGAGCTTATGGAAATATGCCTGCAGAACCTGAAAAATCATATGGACCTGTATTTTATGAAATGGTTGCGAACGCCTGCAATACAAACAATGATATGATAGGATTTAATGAAGATGTTATGAGGTCATTGGTGGATGATGGTAGTGTGGAACATAAATGGGATAGCTATGACAACACACATTTCTTATGTGGTTTTCCAACAGAAGTGGACTTTTGCTTCCAGCAAGGTCAAACATCTACTGCTCCAATAACATACAAATTGTCTGTTAAAGGACCTATTGAACTAGCAACTGAAAATGTACCAAAGCCACTTATTGGATTTATGAGGATTGTTGCTTTGCCATTCAGGTGCGTGCTAATGGCATCCCCATAATAAGATTAGATGACTATAACTTAGCTACGGACGACAGTGAGGAATAAAGGATGAACGTTTATTTTTAAAGCTTATAAATGAGTTCTTCATCAAGCTCTCGTGAACCTTCACCATCTATGAAACAAACTTTACCAAACGATTATGGAGCACCTATTGAATATTTCTTACGAGCTGCACAATGGCAAAGAGCAGTCTCACCAAGGTTAGGTGTTCCACCAGCTCCTGTCAAAAATAGCATTTGGTCAAGTCCTTATATAAGATATGGTCTCCCACTAGGTTTGCTAGCTACAGCAGGAGCAGTTATGATGTTGAAAAGAAACAAAGCAAATGTTGTAAATAATACTGAAGTAGCTGAAGTTAAACAAACTCCGACACCTTCACAAGCAAAACCTTCAATGACTCCTGAACCTATGAAAGTACAAACTCCTGTTCAAAAGTCAACTCCTAAACCGACTCGAACATTTAAACCAGAACCTACTCCTCAAATAAATCGTAAAACTCCTGCGTTTCCTTACTGAAAAAAATAACGTTCTTTTTATTTAATATTAAAATTTTTATTTGATTGAAATGACAAATAAAGTCACTGAAGCAATGAAACAAAAGTTCTTGGTAGAATACATTAAATCAGGAACTATTCCAGAAGGTTTTTACATTCATACTATGAAGGATGGTAGAGTTCAGTTTAGAAAGATAAAGCAACCATTAGATAAAGAAGGAATTTTGAGAAAGATTAAACTTCATGAGGACAACATTGCTAAACTTAGGAAGAAGTTAGAAGAGTTGGAGAAAGGAAGAGAGTTATAAAGCAATGAATTCAACAGGGTGAAAAAAAGAGGTGAAAAAAGAGGTGAGATCTCACCACTTCACCTAAATTTATTTTTGTGCTATGTTTTCATACGTGTGAGGGTGGTGATATCATTAATTTTTAAGTTTATTTTTTATTTTACTGAAAATTTTTATTTGGATGTAAATGACAGAACAAAAGCAACTCATTCGAATTCCACAGTATAACAAACATACATTTAAACATTTATTCTTCCTTCCTGAGCATAACATGTTCTTTCAAATACATCCGAGACCAGTTGACTTTTCATTGACTGTGTATAAAGATAGAAATAGTTATATCATTAAACCATACGATGACGAAGGTAAGTTATGTAAATTGTACGTTAAGAAGTTAGAGAAAGTTTATGGCTTCAAGTATGACTACAATAGGGTTAACACTGATGATGAAGATATTGAGGAAAATTTATGAGAACATTAGTGAAGTCGTTAGTGAGAACGATAGTGAGAACGTTTATTTTTTACATTAGTGAGTTCGTTAGTGAAGTGGTTGGCGGCTTTGTAAAGTGTCAAATTCACAAGTATTGGGTAAGGTGGAACGCAGTGCAGCCGTACCCATGACTTGTATACTAACTCAGGTAACCTATATCCTAGAAAGATTTTGTCATAGTTTGTATTTGAGTCTTCGCGTATTGTTTGCATGACTCTTTCCTGAGTTTCCGGTTCAAGCACTTCAAACAGAGCTTGTCCATATGGAATAAGCTCGTTTCCAAATATATGTTTTTGTAGCCATTCTGGTTTTCTTTCCATGTAACCAATAATATCTTTTGTGAATGGGAAAGCTTTTACCCAACGTTTCAGTCTTGCGTCATTTATTTCTGTAGTTGGTTTTATTTTGTCAAGGAACATGTTTTTCAATACTAACATTTCATTTGGTACTGTCCATTTGAGTTTTCTTAAATATTCATCCCTTCTCAGTTCATTGTCTGCAAAGTAAGTTTTTATGACATTTTGCAAACTTTCGGTTGCAAGGTCATGTACAATAGGTTCTCTTCCTTCTCTCCCTAACTTTCTTTCTAAACTCTTCACCAAATATACCATCTCTATGTTCTGTGTAGTTCTTTGAGATAAATGTTCTAGAACGTCAGGTGTTATATTTCCTTCAGCCATGTTCATTTCATACTGGTCCAAAATATCTGCATCTTTCATATCTTTCAATGGCATTAAAGCGCGCTGAAAATACCCGTTATATCTGGTTCACCATTCACTTCCATTGCGTCAACAACTTCTTGGAATTGAGGTTGTAAGTTTATGAACCACCTATCCGGATTAGCTTTATGACCCCATTTCATTGTAGTTCCATAGTCTGCAGAAACAAAAGTAGGTTTGTTTCCATATTGGTTAGGTTCTGAATGAACTTTAAACAATGTTTCATTTCTATATGTTTTGTTGAAATTTAACCTTTTATTTTCACCGAGTTCAGCCAAAGATTGAACGTTATATGGTCGTAAGTAAAAAGGATTATTGTATTTGCGTACATTTTCTTTCAGTACTTCCATTCTATGCTGAATATTTTCATCTGATGTTGGAGTCTTTTGTATGTCGGTGAACATTTTTTCGATATTCTTCTACTATGTCAGCCGAAATTTCTTAGACTCTTGGAAAGATTCCATATTCACCTCATACTCTTGTTGAGGGTCAAGATTTTTCGGCTGTTCCAAATCTTCATCTAGTTCTGTGAAGTTAGTTTCCAAAGGAGGGACTTGTTCGTTTCCTTCAGGCTCTTCTAGCTGTTGTTGCTGAACTATTTCTTCCATGTCTGGTTGTATCTGAACTTCTTCCTGTGGAGTTTCTTGTACCTCATCTGGTGGCATTTCATATATTCCGAGACCGTTTTTAACAAGTTCCCTATCTAAGTCATCCGGACTCATAAACCTTTCTTCTTTCGTTCCGTCTCTATTTTTACGCGTTTCATGAAGAGAGTTGAATTATCATTTAGCTCTGACATCAAATATCTCGGAGTAAATTCATTCATGTCATTTGGATGATATGCTATTAAATCATATCCCTTAGCGAGCTTGTATTTTCCAGGTTTGAGATTATATCCGATTTGATGCTGAACCATAAAGCTAAATAGGTTCGGGTCAGTATTTCCTTCCTTGAACTTTCTAATAGCTTCTTTATATCTGTCACTAAAGTCAAGAGTATCTGGGTAACCATAATCTTCCTTAAGCATTTTTAAGAATTCTTGGTTTCCTTTTTCTCTACTTCTTTTATGTCCTTGCTCTGTTTGTGGTTGTTGTTGTGCAGGGTTTTGAACTGTTGGTTGCTGTGCTGGTTGTGGAGGTGGTTGTTGTGCTGGTTTTGGTTGTGGTGCTGGATTTTGAACTGTTGGTTGCTGTGCAGGGTTTTGAACTGTTGGTTGCTGTGCAGGGTTTTGAACTGTTGGTTGCTGTGCTGGATTTTGAACTGTTGGTTGTTGTGTTGGTTTTGATGCATGCCTGTGTCTGTGTCCATGTGACGATGTAAATGTTTTAGGTAGTCCTGGTGCAGGTGCTTCTCTTGGAGGGTTTGGTGGTATATAAGTTCCACCAGCTGGCACATATGTTCCATCTGCAGCATAATGTCCTACCTGACTTTTCGTTCTTAAGAAAGCATTTACTAGGTCTGTTTTGGTCTGTTGTAACTCTTTTTCTTGACTTTCCACAACAGTTGCTCTAACGGCGTCATAGGCACTTTGAACTGCCTGTCTCGTTGCTGCATCTGTTATTTTCGTCATATTTTGTGCTACTTCTCTTAACTCTTTGTCGAAACCTTCAGACTTCAGTTTCTTTCCAGATGAGAAGTCGTTCACTAGTTTCATTTTACTATGAAGAGCTTCGAAGGCATTCTTAAAGTCAGCATTCATTAAAGCTTCATTTGAACTGTCTTCATCCGCTTGTATTTTTGTCCTTATTGACCCTATAAGTTGGGCTGCTTTAGCGTTGGCTTGGGCATCTAACCAGTCATTATTAGCTTTTATATATTCTGCGCTTTTCATTGCCTTTTGCATGGCTGCGTCGTTATTTTTACTTTCTTGTGCTAAGTTTTCATACTGTACGGTTTGGTTTTGCAACTGTAAAAGTTTTTCTGCCTTTACATTTGCTTCAACTTCTTTTTTATACTCGTCGCTATCCATATATGTCTTCAGGGCTTTTTGTTTTATTTCTTCATCTTTCAGTACTTTATATTGAGTAGTATGGTTTTTCAAATTTATAACATCTTGTTCCATTTTTGCTACTTCTGCTGCTTTTTCTGACACTTTTTTCGCATATTCCTCTGTACTTAGTTCTTTCAGTTGTTCTTCTTTCTTCTTTTTCTCTACGTTTAACTCATTGAGTTTCTTTGTGTATCTGTCATATTCTAGTTTCTTTTCGTTTTCACTTATTTGTTTCTGTATGTCTATGTTTGACTTTTTGACATCTGTTATTTGATTTTTGAGTGAACTCAAATTCATTTGACTTTGAGGGTTATAAGCTGTTCCGTCTGCAGCTCCACCATAGCCTGCCATTTTCGCTAAAAGTGCCGCTCTTAAACCTCCACTCTGTGCACCAATAACTCGGTTTAAAAGCATAGGGTTGCTTGACATTTGTTGCAACATAGTGGGGTCATTCATCATTTGTTGTTGCAACTGTTGTTGTTGTGTCAGTTTTACTATTGGATGTTTCAATGCTCTCTTCCTCTTACGTATATTCTTACGTAGCTTACGCGGCATTTTAAGTGAAGTTAAAAAGCGGTTTTTGACAGATGTTTATATGACACTTTTTGTTCAGCACAAAAAACTACTCGGTCAAAGTGTTGTCAGTTTTGTAAAATAACCGTCCTATCTCATTCTATAAGGGGAAAAAGGCTTCTCAAAGTATACTTCCTTGGAACGCCTGTAACTTTTCCTGTAGCGACGATAGACCCTTACTTGTCCGGACAAAGTTATACTATTTTGAGTGCTCTACAAAAAAGTCAACGGCGACGACTCTCAAAAACCGTTGTGTAAAAAGTTTTACCGTTGGACAAAAAAGTATATATAGAAAACAAAACACGTTTATAGTTCATTCAATATTTGAGATAAACCGTTTTTTCCAACGGTAACTATTAAATAAAATAAAAAAATAGAGGGGGTTACCGTTGACGAAAACGGTTCATCTCAAATATTTAAATTGTAATAAACAGAAATTCATCAAAAGTGACAGCTCTCAATTTTTTGACATTTGTAAATTCTAAATTGAATGAGAAAAATAAAATAATACTAAGCATAATACAATATTCTAGATTTAATTATAATTAGGAAAAAGTTAGTTTTGAGAGTACTTTTCATAGGCATATAGAATGAAATCTTCTGAAAAATAATATCACATGAACTCATATTATTTTCTAATATATAACTATTTTATATAAAAATCAAATTCAATGATCTTAAAAGCGAAGGATAAACCTCAAAATTTACGAATATAATGAGTGGGAATAGGCGTAAAGCAAAAATTGATATTTCATATGGTTTTATGATAGATAAGCATTATATTCCCACTCATTATATTCGTAAATTTTGAGGTTTATCCTTCGCTTTTAAGATCATTGAATTTGATTTTTATATAAAATAGTTATATATTAGAAAATAATATGAGTTTATGTGATATTATTTTTCAGAAGATTTTGTGTTCTTCTTCAAAATTTTATTTTTTTATTAAAAAGAATCTTTACAAAATATACATTTACTTTAATTAATATTTAAAAACGTGCTCTATCAAAAGTTCCAAAAATTCAATATTTTAGCTTTTCTGAGGTGTCACTTTTGATGAATTTCTGTTTACAACAAAATATCTGTCTTTTTTGGTCAGTTCATTTTTATCTAATGGAAGCCAACGCTGTTAACCACAATTCAAACATTAACAATTCTCAACCGCTAACCAAAGCCAAAGCCCCACAACCTCCAAGAACTGGCACAGCGGTTAGAATAACCACCAAAAAGTCTAACAGCGAATTAAGAGAAATTCTTCAACAAATTTGCTCTAAATATCTCAAAGACGCCGAAGAAAACACACAACCAGACGCTACATACAATACTCAGTTCTGTGAAGTTCTGAACAAAGCAATTACTAGTTCAATTGAACTTACTAAGACAATTCCAAGTCCAATTGAGCTTAGCGATGTCTTAGTTCAGTATTTTCCAACATTTACTAAGCTTATAATGTTGAGAACTTTATACCAAGTTCGTCAAAATCTTCCTCGTTACATCCAACGGTCATTCGACACGAGAATTGCCGAATTCCAAGTCTTTAGTTACGGATATGACGAAGATGAATACGTTGACGAGTTCGGAGACAACTGTACAAAATGGTTTGAATGTTATACGACAACACAATTTGAATTCGACTTTCTCGAATTCAACGCAGCAACCATTCATATCATTGCTCTTTACCTTTCCGAACAACAACAAGACCTCGCAGATGGAGATGTTGTTACTGTCGTCATGAAAACTCCTGAACAATTCGGAAAAAAGAAGTCTCTAATTGCCAAATTCGTTCCAGGACATCAGCTTTTCCAACGCACAGAAGTCTTCTGTATTCCTGGAACTAAGTTCTTTGTCAGGAGCGAACTCAAAGAAAGATATAATGTGTCATTCAATTACACATTATATAATGTTTTCGACCCAGAAGAAGGCTTCTTCCCAGAAGCAATGGAGGAGGAAGAAGAGGAGGAGGAAATACAAGACTCTATCCAAGAAGAGTCCTCCGAATTCACACCAGAAGACTAACAATTTTCCGAATAAAAACTTCATTTATACTAAACATCTTCGGGGCTAGAGGGCGCAACGCGCCTGGAAGCCCCACTACCTTTTTTTTGATTCGCGTGCTTATTAATAAATATCATTTAATTCAATTTTGAGAAATCAATTTGAATTGAGGTTTTTCAGATTTTATATATAATAAAACCAGAATGTATGTGGGAATCATCCTGATTCGTTTTTTTCTAAATTAAAATGGAAGAAAAAATTTTTTTGACTTATGATACCCATTTATTTTTATCGAATCCGCCACACAATTGTTATATTCATTGCTTTTCTAATTATTTAAAAGAAAAAAACTTTTGCCAACAAAAAGGCATTATCTATTGGAATTTCAACAAATTTGTATTACAAAACATCGTTATTTCATGATTATTTTCCACACCACGCACACTGTTTCCATTTTCCTGATAGTTCAAAAGATATCTTTCTTTGCGTTTAAATAATAGTGTTTTTCTGCTTTCTACATACTAAATTGATATTGTATAGGTTTTTAATGCATAATTTTAAAAAATAAATCCAAATTTTGTTATAGACCGAAAATAGATTTTTTCGGTTTTCTCTTCAAATAATTGAAAGAATGATACTATTATAGGTTTATTATATTATATAGCATATAATCATGCTATAGCCGAAAATTATAAGTTTTGAGAAGATTGAATATAACACAAATAAATTTGAATGTAAGTTAAATTGCTTGTTGTTTTTAATAGCTATTTAATGAGAAATCCAATATTGCAAAATTCAAATTGAATGATTGAAAGAACAGAAAAAGTCATTCTTTTCAATTTCGAATATGTTTCATTGTATTTATAATTATATGGCAAATAAGATATTTAAACTTGATTTTTGAAGGAAAATTCACAAAATTGAATAAATTCAAATAATTTTTATTCAAAAATAAACTAGTTATTTGAGTTTAATACTAATTATCTATTCGAACTACAAAGTTTGTAATTTAAAATATTTTGTGAGATCAGATTGAATTAATTCAATGTTCTTTTCAATTAATATTAATGACCATATTACGCATTTTCGAACATTCTAAACCAAATATATAAAAATGGGAGACGAATGTTAAATTTGCTAGACATGGGGGAGTTGTCTGCAAAGTTTTATCTCTTATCTCTAACAAAAAATTAATTTTTAAAAAAATGACCGAATACGTTTCACAGCGAGAAAAAATAAAAGGCAAGATAGAATTTTCTAGACAGAAAGAAGTTGTTTACCGAGTTTTAGCTCTTATCTCTAACAAAAAATTAATTTTTAAAAAAATGACCGAATACGTTTCACAGCGAGAAAAAAATAAAAGGCAAGATAGAATTTTCTAGACAGAAAGAAGTTGTTTACCGAGTTTTAGCTCTTATCTCTAACAAAAAATTAATTTTTAAAAAAATGACCGAATACGTTTCACAGCGAGAAAAAAATAAAAGGCAAGATAGAATTTTCTAGACAGAAAGAAGTTGTTTACCGAGTTTTAGCTCTTATCTCTAACAAAAAATTAATTTTTAAAAAAATGACCGAATACGTTTCACAGCGAGAAAAAAATAAAAGGCAAGATAGAATTTTCTAGACAGAAAGAAGTTGTTTACCGAGTTTTAGCTCTTATCTCTAACAAAAAATTAATTTTTAAAAAAATGACCGAATACGTTTCACAGCGAGAAAAAAATAAAACTGTACACTGATTTTCATTTTCATTTCCAGTCACTTTACTTATTATTTTTCTTTTTTTCATTTTAATTATAAATTATTTCATAATACGTTTATTTACGTTACCATTTTCTTTATTCTTTTGAATTCCATACTAGACACTTATAGAATATTTTGATTGTTAACGTACTTCATTAGAATGAATCCTTACAAAGGGTATGTCGATCGAATTTACCTAATTGGTATTTCCAATCAGATTGAAGAAGGTAAAATGACATGGGAAGAAGCTTGCACCCATGTTCCCATCGCCCCAACCCTTCAATCAAATGATTTCAAATATTTAGATGTTTCAAAATCTTTTTTACAAAATCAATTTAGCTTACAGAATATCCCATTGCCTAAAGGCAAGAAAGGTCGTAGGGTCAATCCCTACGACCAAATCAAAGCTCTTGCTGTGATACATGACCACTGGGCCTTTCCCTGTGGTCAAACAAAACAATGGAAACGTTTGAAATTACAACAAATTGATGTATCTTATAGAGAAGTACGCAGATACTTCAAAGAAAATCATTTCACCAAGACGCGATTAGAGCATGCCGGGCCAGAAACAGCAGTAAGATATTGGGCGCTTTCACCCAATCTTATCTGGCACGCAGATGTTCATTATTTTAGGGGTGTTCGTGGCCAGTATATTTATGGCATAATCGACGATTTTAGCCGCAAAGTCCTAGCGTGTATACAAATACCAGATATGCTGGCAGCGACGACAGCGAACGTTGCGGCTTCCGCCTTCATTGAATTTGGCGCCCCTTATTGTTTCTGGACCGACAACGGTTCAGAAAATAGGGACGCCTTTCAAGATCTACTTGATCTTTGGGGCGTCCAATGGCGGCATACAGACTCTCATTCTCCCTACCAAAATGGGAAGATTGAGAGATTCTGGCCGACATTGGAGCGCTGCCAAAGCATTTAGGCTATTCCTGCCTTTATTTGGGAGTACAATAATAACACACCGCATGAAGATCTCCCAATTAATCCATTAACTGGAACAAATTACACGCCAAATCAAATGTATCAGCTGAAACCGAAATACACAAATGCAGATACAGAAAGGTTGTGGCAAATATGGGATACAGATACAGGCATGACCGCTGTTGACACATTCACAGCGTAATAATAAACATAATTTTTTAATTTCATTTTTAACAAGTTTTTTTAAATGTATGTAATGAATAATTCATTAGAATATGATAATGCACATTGTAACAGAATAGAACAATCACCAAATTTTTTTTTTTTGAAATTAAAAAATAAAAGTAAAAAGTATAAAGTAATCTAACCAAAAAAGATATTTAAAAGAATTTTGGAAAAAACAGAATAAGGATAATGATATTATTTTAGATACACAATCGATGTACTGAAGAATAATCCGGTAAAATGATGGTATAAAATTAGAGTATTTTACAAGTAGCTAAAAGAATAAAACTATAATATAAATAAATGAAGATTAATGAAACAATAAAGGTTAAATAAATAATAAAGATTTTTATTTTATATCAGTATTGAGAAGAAGTAACAGCTGACACTTGGTAGACAACTTCTTTATGTCTAGAAAATTCTATCTTGCCTTTTATTTTTTTCTCGCTGTGAAACGTATTCGGTCATTTTTTTAAAAATTAATTTTTTGTTAGAGATAAGAGCTAAAACTCGGTAAACAACTTCTTTCTGTCTAGAAAATTCTATCTTGCCTTTTATTTTTTTCTCGCTGTGAAACGTATTCGGTCATTTTTTTAAAAATTAATTTTTTGTTAGAGATAAGAGCTAAAACTCGGTAAACAACTTCTTTCTGTCTAGAAAATTCTATCTTGCCTTTTATTTTTTTCTCGCTGTGAAACGTATTCGGTCATTTTTTTAAAAATTAATTTTTTGTTAGAGATAAGAGATAAAACTTTGCAGACAACTCCCCATGTCTAGCAAATTTAACATTCGTCTCCCATTTTTATATATTTGGTTTAGAATGTTCGAAAATGCGTAATATGGTCATTAATATTAATTGAAAAGAACATTGAATTAATTCAATCTGATCTCACAAAATATTTTAAATTACAAACTTTGTAGTTCGAATAGATAATTAGTATTAAACTCAAATAACTAGTTTATTTTTGAATAAAAATTATTTGAATTTATTCAATTTTGTGAATTTTCCTTCAAAAATCAAGTTTAAATATCTTATTTGCCATATAATTATAAATACAATGAAACATATTCGAAATTGAAAAGAATGACTTTTTCTGTTCTTTCAATCATTCAATTTGAATTTTGCAATATTGGATTTCTCATTAAATAGCTATTAAAAACAACAAGCAATTTAACTTACATTCAAATTTATTTGTGTTATATTCAATCTTCTCAAAACTTATAATTTTCGGCTATAGCATGATTATATGCTATATAATATAATAAACCTATAATAGTATCATTCTTTCAATTATTTGAAGAGAAAACCGAAAAAATCTATTTTCGGTCTATAACAAAATTTGGATAACAAAAACAACTAAATCCAAATTTTAGCATTTAAAAAAAATAATACCATCTGATAGAGAATAATGCTACAATTAGACCAAATATTTCAAATGATTTAAAGCATTATTTCAATTTTTACTCCAAAAAAAAAGTTCTCTTAATCTCGCATCACTGAAATGCTATGAAAAATTAAAGTAAAAGAAATTTTATTATATCAGAATTTTGAGAAAATCTCACAGAATTTTTTGAAATAATTATTTTTAATTCAAATTTAAACTTATGAAAAATTTCAGTTAACTACAGATCGAAAATAATGATTTATCATCTTAAACAGTATATTCTAAAATTTATGAGCATTCATATCCATTATTTGTAAAATTCTGCTACAGATGAGTATTCAATTAATGAAGAGTCTAACAAGAGAATTACAATTGCTTCATGTATTTATTTATTTTGAAATTATTCCAATACTATTTTACTTTAAAAAAAAAACTCAATTTCTCTGGACCTGATTTGTAAACCAAAAAATCCTTTCAAAAATCCTTATAAGCCGATAGCAGCTGCATTAAAATTTGTAATTATTTTATGTATATATCCTTTATAATATCTTATTTCCAGCCATTTTTAAAAATTTGAGAGCTTACAGGGCATCTATTGAATATTTTTTTTAAAACGAAACTAAATAATTTTTTAATATAAAATATAAACATATAATACAAATAAAAGATTATAATAACTGGAAAACCAATTTCTCATAAATCAATCTTACAGACGTTGGAGTTCCTTGTAAGAAGTGTTTGACGAACTTTGTTTCTTTCAATCTCTGATCCTGGTCATGAATTCCTTTTGATTTGAGAAGATCGACCAATGTATTTATCTTTTGATATTTGAAGGAATAATTGTCGTATTGATCAAGTATTTTGTTGACTTCTTCTGGTGCCAACTTCTGTTTGAGAATATCTTCTTCGATTTCTCTTAAAATGTCGATCAACATGAATGTTTTGACGTCTTCATCGGTGAAACATTCTTTTTCTTCAAAGTGCAACCTGATCAAAACTTTCTTGACTTCTTCGTCAATCTCTGCATTCTCTTTGTCGTTTTGAACAATCATTAAAGCGTTCAATATTGTATCAGACAAAGGAAGGAATTCATTGATTGTTATCTTCGATTTCGAGCCAATTCTGAGTAGAATTGATTCATATTGGGAAATAATTGAAGTAATTAATGCCAATAATCTTATTCTCGAGCTCATATTCAAGATAAACAAACTGGATTGGTACAAAATTGATGAGTAATTCACGATATACTCATCAATTTGTTTGAACGCGTTGTAAAGCTGTTCATTCGTTGAATTAAGAATAGAAATCACGGATTCGATCATATCTTGAAGATTCTGCTGAATAGAAGCAATATCTTTGATGTTTGGCTTCACATCTTTCACGTTTTCAATGAAAGAAAATGTCTTGTTTGAAATAATTTTTTCATAAATTGATAGCAAATTAATCCAAACATTTTCAGTGTTTTTGTTGATCGAATAACATCTCTTCATGTTTGCAATTGAGTTCTTAAACAACTGTGAACTGTCGTTATCCAAAGCATTTGCACAAACTTTGAATGATTCATCGTAATTTCCAAGAGCTTGTGAAATTCTTTCTCGTTTAAGAACTGATTCCGAGGTTGAGTTATCGTTTGCCAATGAAAGCAAACAGAACAACATTGTGTTTGAAACACTCTTCAGTAGTTTTAATTCAGCTGTTTCATTGAATAATCCCATTGGAGTGAAGAATTGTTCCAAATTGTTTTTGATGGTATTAACAATTTTCATGGAGAAATCAGCAAAATCTGATCCTTTCGAGAACAAAAGAACAGCAACTAATTGTATTGTGTCCTTTAATGTTGCGATTGAAGGAACATTCGATGAACAAAGTTTCAAAGAAACTGCGCAAACTCTCATCAAAGAATCCGCATCGCTTGGATCGAAATCCAAAAATGGATCTGCGAAATTCTGTGGATTTGGATAAAACTCGAAAACATTGACAATTTGGTTTGATAACAACCGGCGAATTTGTTTAGTGAGAACGGAAAATTCGCTGAAATCATCTTCAGTTAATTTCAAATTATAAATGAATTTGTCGTTTATCTTTGAAATCAAAGGTAATATCATGCTGTCATGGATATCATTCTGTATGTGGTTCAAAGAGATGAACAACAACTCAAGGGAATATGTGTCAATTGATTTGATGAACATTTCGTAATATTTAGTTCTGTTGACATTTGTGCAGAAAACAACTAAATTTATGTAAAGAGAAGCAATGGCTGATTTGAACTGTTTGTTCATCTTGTTCTCACTCAAGTGTGGAGTATTGATAGAATACTGTGCAACCTCTCTGATGCTGTCAACAAGCTGCTGGATGTTGAATCTGTCGTCATCAACAAATAATGGCAAAATTTGGGAAGTTTTGATGCATAATTTGTAAAGAAGATCTAAAGAAGCAGGACCTCTTGATTGAATTATCTCTTCTATTACAAGGATAATATCGGAAGAGATCTTTTCAACTAAAGCAGGTTTAGTTGTTTGAGGAACACATAATGACAATGGAGCAATTTCTTCAACATCTTTTGAAAATCTTTCCATGATTTGGATGATTTCATCTGTCTTAGTCATCAATGAACATAAAGTGTGTTCGAAACCATCAACTTTGATCGTTTTCTTGAGAATAGAATTAGTCTTTTGAAGTGGATAATTGAAAATCAACTTCAAAATCATGAAAATTATGGAACTTTCGTAATTAGACAATTTGGAAATGAAAGTTGCTGTTTGTGCTTCTGTTTGACTTGTCATTATCATGAACAGGTTTTCTACAGCGATGAAGATATCGAGGAATGAAAGATTGACCATATCTGTTTGATGTCGTCTTTGAGAAACTTCCGGATAAACTAAGAATAGTTCTTCTTTCAACATGACAATTCTTTTATTATCTTCAATAATTTTCAGTTCATTTTCGATACCTTTTTGATCCAATGGGAAATCAGTAATTTCCGCTTCTTGCATCATTTCTGTTTGTGTTGATTTCAAGACATTCAAGTACTGTTCATAACTAGAAGCTTGTGTTGGCTGGATGTCCATTGATAGATTGCAAAGATGCTCTAACAAAACTTGTTCTGGATAAAAATCTTCAGGAGTTGTATCAAATGAATTTGCTTGGATTTTCATGAAAACTTTCATTTGATCGATCGGCAACGGGTTTCTAATAACTAATGTATCTCCTTGTGTGTATTTATTGAGTCTTTCCAACATGAATTTTCTGATTGTTTTTTTAGTTTGGTTCTGAATCTTTTGTCCTTTGATTAACTTCATCAAACTCATTACGTCATCACTGGATTTGAATGTTGTTTCTCTTCCATCCATGAATGACAAAATAATTCTGATGAAAAATTGCTGGTATTTGCAAAACTCTTTGATGAAATCTTCTGAAAACATTCCTGCATACAAGTACTTCAAATATCCATTTAATACTTGCTCATTTTGATTGGAGATCTCAAAGTCTTCATCGTAAGCTTGTCTCTTATCAATTTCGCCAAATGGAGTTGCTTTGATGCAAACTTGTTTCGCTTTCATCAGTTCTGGAATGAATTTGTTGATTCTGGTGCAATCTCTTGATACAACAGCATATTCAGTGAACTGTGTAGTGAACTTCTTCAGAGTCTTCTGTAGAACATTGTAGTTCCTCATTGATCTGAATTTGTCTGTGAATTCTGTTGGATTTGGACAAACAAAACCTAAATTAAATGTTGTTTGTATCTGGTTGCTGTAAATGGTATCAAACATGTTGTAGATCGCGAACAAAAGGGATTGTTTGACTTTAGGAGGCTGGAACAATACTTTGGAGTATTCTTTTGTCTTCAATGCTTCTTGGAGAATTGGAATTCCATATGGAATTTGAGTGTTGTCAGGTCTAGCGTTTGTAAATTGTTGATTTTGAAGAATCATTGCTGCCATTGACAATAACTCTTGAAGAACAGAATACGTAGTGAAGTTTGAGTTGATCAAATTAATGATATTCTTCAAATGGTCGTTTGTCAAGTTTTCATCAAGTTGTTCTTTGTAAATTACTTTTTGGAAAACATCTTTCACTTGTTTGTCGTTGTTTCCTTTAGTTCCAATCAAAACTAATGATTTAGTGATGAATGAAAGAACTTTAGGAACAGTCTGCTCATCCAATGATATGATGGAAGAAACAAAAATAGTTGGGAAAGGCATCAAATGGAAAATTCCCAAAATTGTGTTCGAAATGTCAATTTTTTCTGCAATCAAAGAATCGATTGGCTCGGATTTCTTGATAGTAGCAAAATTGGACTGTAAGAAGTAATACATAGCAATCAGACAGATTATTTCATTAGTATTTGTCAAGAATTCCAGCAACAACTTGGAATAATTTGTCACTTTTTTGTTGTGATTTACAAATTCTTTAAGAGAATATTTTTGAGGACATTTCTTTGTCAATTCATCGATCTGATCATTGATATCGAATACAATATTATGTTCCATCGTCGCCTGTTGTCTTAATATCAAGTGCAAGTAAATAGCTTCTTCTCTTGTCAATGATTTGATCAAAGAATTGAATTCTTGAATGTTTTGTAAATTGTTCACTTTGTCCATCATCGAAACATATGTTTTAACTGACTTGTTCTCTTGTATCTGCTGGAACTGAACCATGTCAACATTGGAAATGAATGATTCCGGTCTTATCTGTGCTAATATAAATTGACACATAACCGATTGTAAACTATACAAAATATTTTGACCGTATTTCAAAAACCGTTTCATGACGATAGAAGAAATAACTGTTGTATCAATTGTATCATTATCTTCGTAAGTTTTGATAGCTCTGATTGACTTAAATAGTCTTTCAGGAACAGGGAAATCTTTAGGAACATTCAAGTTCTCGTATGGTTTCAAGTTCTTGATTGTTGCAATCAAGTTTCCGAATTTGTTTTCTGTATCTTTCTGTTTGAAGTTGATTGAACATGTTTCCAAATATTCCTGGAGTTCAACTTTCTCTTTACTTGAGAGATTAACAATCTTTTCAATGGATTTGATGAATTGCGAAGTGTTTCCTGGAGTTAATTTAGCGAATTCGTTGTTTATCTCTCTCATTATCTTAACAAATCCTTTGTTATTGTTGTTTTCGATTTCGTAATTCACAAAGTTCAACATGGACTTAATAATTAATTTGACAACTTTACAATTATTGTCATTTAATTTGTTTGCAATAACTGTCAAAGGAGACAAAACAGTCATAACAATTGGATAAATCTTTGTGTTGTTCATGACTTGGGAAACATGATCAACAAAGCATTGACACAATTTCAAATCTTCCAAAATTGTTGTTATTTGACTTCTTTCGAATTCTGTTGTAAATGATAACAAATTGTCATGGAAATTAAGTATGTATTCATTCAAGAAATTGCTCAATTTGAATAATTCTTCTGGGTGAACTTCTATCACCTTCAGACCAAATAACAATGGATTTGTTACTTTTTGAATGAATTCTTTCAATCTTGGCACTTTTTCTTTATAATTTTCAATGAAATTGACAAATTTCATCATCATGCAATAGAAAACATCAGTGTAACAAGCGATGATTTGGTACAATCCAAAGATTATGTTAGATTGGTCGTAGTTTGGTATTGGATTATAAGAAATCTTGCAGTTTGCTTCCACAATAATTCCAAAGATATAATTTGAAGTTTCGAATGAAATGAAATTATCCAACAAATCCAAATATAATTCAGTTCTGAATGGCATCAGTTTCAAACAAATTCTTATGAATTTATTGATTAAAATTCTTAAGTTTGTAATGATATCTTGTGAAGGAGATAACATTGCAAGAGCTCTAAGAATTATGCCATTTCTGATTATAGAAGGAATACTTTCATCGATATAACCACCAAGTAAATATAAATCATCACAAATTGAAATTGGCCAAATGTTTTTGTTCTCGTCAATGACTTCTAAAACTCTTTCGTAGTTGCAATCTTCCAATAACAAGATGTTGATTGTTTCACTGATATAAACTTCATCTTGTAAAATGAATTTAGGAATAATATCACATGAGAAATCTGCCACGTAAAGTTGTAATTTATTTATCATATGATAAGCAAGTTTATGTGTCAAAATTGACAAACTTTTGTCTGCCACTTTTTCTAATGCGAACTTTGCGAAAGAAATTGAGTTGTTTTGAGCAATTTGTGGATCATTTTCTTGTAACAATGAACGTAAATCCTTTAAGAACATGTTCTTATCTTCTTCTTCGCCAATTTCGTTGACCAAATCATATAAATGTTTGATATCATCATGGAAATTACATAAATTAAGGGAATCAATGTGTGGCTGCTCCTGGTACTTGAGGTACAATTGTAAGTTCATTATTAATACGTATAAGAAATTAGAGATATTTGGATTCTTGTGTAAACAGAAATAAAGTTCCAGATTATCAAGATTTTCAACAATGGAATTAAAGTTGTCAATAAATGCTCTCAAGTTATTCTTCGTCAATTCTTGCTTGAACTTATTGACTTTCTTTGTTATCTCTTGTATCAAAGAACTCATGTATGGATAGAACAAAATGTTGCCAGTAGAAGTGATGTTTTCAATGATTAATGGCAAACTTTGTATCTGTGACAAAATGATGTCAAATGATTTGGAAGTGACTGATTCTAATGTTACTGGGTTGCAGTATTCATACAAATAGTCTCTGATTGAAGGGATATGATCAATTGATGTAACAATGCTGTTAATCAAGTGTATTCCATCTTGAATATCTGTGATAATTGAGAAATTCTCTTTTTTTTCTGCTGATTTTTCAAGAAGATTCTTGATTCCTTGTAAATAAGATCTTTGTAAACTCATCATTGGATAACTTAATTCCTTTTCATTCAGCATCAACTGCAAAACATCTTTCATCTTCTTGATTTCTTCCAGGTTTGGTATTTTCGTGATTTTCGGAAGAGAATCAATGAAAGATTTAATGAATGTTTTCGTTGATTCATTTGATGACTTGCACATCAAAACAATTCCTTGGAATTCATGTTTGATCTGCGAGAAGAACTGTTCATGAGATGCTCTATAAGTTGTAGAAATAATCTTTGCAGGAATGGATTCAATTCTACTGATGATTTTGTCAATCATGTGGTAGAAATTAAGGGAAGGATGGTTTAATTGGTCAGATAATTGTGATTTCATATCATTGAAGAATGATATTTCACTATCCAATGTAGAAATGTTAATCAACATTGTTGATATATCACTGGAACTCATGTCTTCTTTCAATTTGGAATTAATCGAATCCAAATTGGAAACAGCACGATTGATTTGTTCAGGAACAGGCGGATTCCTCAATTGACGAGGTTTGAATCTTAGATTCATGTTAAAGAACCTTTCAATGGCTAATAGCATCTGTCTTATGTTTTCCTTCATTACTTCTTTAACATTTACATGAGAAATTTCTTTGTTCAAGTTTATCAAAACATTCTTGATGTCATTCATGAAATTATTAAGAGGATCTACATTATAAAAGTTGGAGATCAATGTGTTCCTTATGTAGAATGATTGTGCATGGTAGTTCTTCATAACATTATAAATATCTATCAGATTTTGCAAATTTGACACTGTGATTTCGTAATTCAAATTTTGCAACAATTCAAACAAATAATGTTTCAACAACAAAAACTCTCTGACTTGTGGGAATTCGTTTTCATCGTAGAAGAACTCTTCGGAGCAACATAACTTCTGCAAGTTCTGTTGTATGTTTTCCGTCAGCAAATACACATGATAAGTAATTCCTTGTGGCAAATTATAACTTTGTAACATCAAAATAATATCTGACATGTTCAAAGAAATTTGTTTTGCCATGTTTTGAATTAAAAGAATTGTTTGTGAATCGAAGATGAAGTCTTCTAATATGGCAACACTTTGACTCAAGTCATTCATGTAACTGTAAATAATGTTCATGATTGGATCAAATTGTTTGTCGCTTTTAAGTTGTGGACAAATATTTGTTATTGTGATCATAAATGAACTTAATTCATTTAATCGAATGATTAAGTTATTTATGTTCATTGGAGAAATGTTTGCGATGGACATATTGATCAAATGACTTTCTAATGTCATTAAATCATATGTTAAATTGTCATTTTCTTCTTCATAGAAATTGGTAATTCCGAATTTAATATATTTCCGGATTTTCAAGAACATTGACAAATAAATTTCCCTGTCTGCTTCAGTGAAATCGTCATCAATATGGACTTTATCTAAATTATGCTTAATGACAAAGATCAAACAGTTCGTGAATACCAAAGCATCGGAACTCAAAGAAACAGTGCTGTTTTGTAAAGTTGTCAAAATTGAAGAAACCGTTGCTCTTGCAGCCATTAAATTATCAAACATATTCTTTTCGATTGTTATGGAATTGATGTGTTGTATCAAAGTATTGATTTCGAATATGTTTCTTCCCATTCTTTCAAGTAATTTCCTCTGTTCCATGATGTTGATCTCTGATTTGATTTCTTCTAAAAATGAATTTGCTGCCATCATTAAATTATTTGCTTCAAAAACTGCTTGAGAAATCATATTCATTTCACCATTGCTCAAAAACTGCTGGCAACCTTCCATCAATATGTTGTTGACGTTGTGTAATCCATGGACAATACCATTCGGATTGCTGCCTGTAATTACAATGTCATAAAATTGATAATAGAAGAATAATGTAAACTTCTCAATTTTATCGACAAAATTGAGAACTTTGTAGACAAGTTCTGCATTTGTATCGTGAAGAGTGCTTGGTTTATTGTTCTCTGTTGTCATTATTGAGTTGATCTTCGAGTCGAAAATGATTTCCAATTCTTCACATTTTTCACTAGATTTGAATTCATTTTGAACAAAATCGATTTGAATTACATTTTTGATTAATTCATTGTATTTCGTTGCATAATCATCATCTCCTCTTTTATCAATCATTAATATATCAAGGAATGTTTGCTCAATGAATGACTTGAACTGTGAATCCAAGATATTACTGTTAGCAACATAAACACTAACAAATTTCGAAATCATTCTGAATCCACCTAACATTCCTGAAATGTTTAATGATGCTGGATTGAGTCTCCACCATTGATCAGAGTCGATTTCTTTTGGTTCAACTTCTTTCTTGGTGTCTTCATCAATGTCTAACGAGATTTCAGTGAATTGTGTCGTTGAAATATCTTCAAATTTCACCATGTCAGGAACATAGACTTCTTGTGGTTCATCTTCAGATGTTTCAACATCAGGCATGAACTCTGTTGTAGGAGTTAATGAATAGTGCAATGAAGAGCTCGATGCTTCTTCTTCCCTTTCTATTGGCTTTGGTTTATTCGGATCAATACTATCCAACAAATATTCTTGCAAACTTTCAATGGATGTAAACATCGATGAAGTTTGATTTACTTGAATAATGTTCTTCAAGAACCTATAGGCTTCTAATGATTGAACAACATTGAATGTGAATTCCTTGAGTGATGAATTTTCTGTTTTAGTATATTTGAGTGTTAGTTGATCATCTTTAATTGTTACTTCTTGAAGATCAATTGTTTTGAGTGTCAACAATCTTTCTTCGTTTTTAAGTGAATAAACAATGATTTCATATGGTGAAAAGATTGTGTATCCTTGTGTTTGATCAACAGAACATGAATAAGTCTCTGTACCGAATCCAGGAATCTCACAACAAATGGAAAGATGTTTCATGATTGCTTTGGAAATGTCACCTCTTGCTTTTAATGTTGACAAATCATTCTTGAACTCTAAAGCTTGTTCAGGAGTGAATTGTCTTTCTTTTATGTTCGTCTTGAAGTAATTCTTGAAATCTGGATCAGTTTCTTTCTTAGTGATGTAATCTGTGATTGCCAAAATTTCAATTCTCTTTTCTTCAGGAATATAAATTTGGTTTGTTTCTGCAAGAGTTTTGAGCTCAATGTGCAAATTCTTCAATGTCAAAATATCTGTAAACGTGATTGTTGAGAAGTAATAATTACGTCTTATCAAGTAATAATCGTTCATGAACAAAGAATCGTTGTAAATCTGTTTCATTGGATCCAAACTGAGGAAATTCGTTCCTTTTCTGATTCTCAATGTGTGGCCATCAGCGAAACCAAGATTAAACTCTTTCATAATGTAGAAACAAACATCTGATACATTCTGAAGTATATCAACATTAAATGGTCGGACGGAATAAACAGGACAATGAATCAAAATTTCTCTTTCTCGTGGTAATAACAATAAAATCGAATCATTTTGGACTTGTGTCATTTGGATCTTCAATTTCGCGTCAACAGGCAAAACTTGTGTTTCTTCAGGAGCTTTTGCAAACAACATGTATTTCTTGAAATTACCAATTTCTAAGAAATTCGCTGCTACTTCAATCAAATCACCTGCAATTGAATCTGGTTCGATTTTCAGGTTTATCAAATAAGGATTTTCCAATTTCTTGCATAAATAAGCTGTAATTGCGTTACTTGAAAACTCTTTGTTCAAATACTCTGATTGTTTCGCTTGATAATATTCTCTTTGTTCAACAATTGGCAACACGTATTTGAGATAAACTGATAAAATGTCATAAACAGTTTGTGCTTTATCAGATTTCAATGTTATATCCGAATACAACCTATTTGTTACATCCATGACGCCAATGAACAAAATGTTTCTGCAAAGCAAACATTTCCTGATGTCTTTGAACTTGAAATTCATCACAATTGTCTTTGTTCGTTTGATCAAGACACCGTTTGGACTGATATAAACCATAACTTCGGAACTTGATTGTTGTTCAAAAACATGCATTTTGAATCTGTGTTGTCCAGTGTTTAGTTCTTGGATGCATGTATTGATGTAGTTGTTTGCAGCTACAATTGGTCCAATGTATTTGTTCTTTTTGACTGCTTGGCAAAGACTGATCAAATTCCTTGGATCTGGTTTGTTTCCTATTGGTAAGAAAGGTTCGAATTTCCTTGGTCTTTTATCATATTCCAAATTGTTTTTGACTTCGACATTCCATTGATACAAAGCCATTTTGATGAGTTTGTCTTCAGGAAGATTTATTGATTTCGTGTTGAGTAAAACACGCTTGTAATTATCAAAAATCTCTTTGGCAGAATGTGCCAAACTGCTGTCAAATTTTGTAAATGGCGGGAAAATTTTCATTAAGAACTGGAGGTTGTCGATATCAAATGTTTGTTGAATTAAAGGAAGATGAGGATCCAGCATTGATCCATTGGAATAAATCATGAATCCTACGAAGTATTCGATGCCAAACGCATTTGCTACTGTAGGAATTATGTCTGCAACTCTTTTTGTTATATCCAAAGTCATGATATTCGTTGTATTGTATTCATCAGTGAATTTACAATCCATGAATTTTTGGATTACAACAATATCAGCGTTTTTATTGATGATTTGATAAGCCAATTGCTGTGATTCATTGATTATCTCGTATTTGTTAATAGCAATAGAGATAAGTGCATCGTATTTTGTGTTTGGATTGGCTTTCCATTCATCAACAATTCTTGAAATTATTTCAGCTTTCTTTATTGTTAAAGGTAATTTAACTTGAACTGTTTTAGTTAAGTTTCTTGCGCCTTCAATGAAATACTTCGTTTGTAATTCAACTGTTGGAGGATTCTTTGGATCTTGTTCGAGCCAAAGCTTAGTTTTCTTCTTGAGTTCTTGTTTCTTTGCATCAATAATGTTCATGATCTTCTTGGCATCGTATCCTTGAATCAAAATTGATTTCGGTTCTCCATTTGTATCAACATAATTAATTGATAAATAAGACATTCTGTTGTGTCTTATTTCTGGTCTAATAATTGGTGTTGAAACAATTGAACTGATATCAATTTCGAATGTGATTTGGAGTGTTGGTTTCGTTGAAACAATGAAGAGTTTCATTGTTCGAATGACACAATAACTTTCGACAAAACCATCTTCAGTTTCGATGTTGATTAAATCAAATTCAGCTGAAAATGTTGGAATGTCCATGCACAATTTTCTGTACATCAATATCAATTCTGGCTTCGGTCTGTCTTTGCAAACATGTGCGAAACTTCTTACATCTCTTAATTCTGTCTTCTTCATCTGATAGTTTTTAGGCGTGAATGGTCCTAAATCTTCGAATTTAGATATGTTTATGTCTTCAATAACTAAACTCAAAGCAGTTAAATCAGTGAATGTTTGCATGGCAACAATGATACAAGGAGAAGTGATGACGATGTCCTTCATTGATCTGTACAATGACATCAAGTAAGAAAGAGATTTCATGCCATCAGGAGGGATGGTGAATTTGCATCTTGCAGCATGGATTTCGATTCTTCCTGATGTTTGTTGGCTCAAAATCAAATTCGGATCCAATGTTTGACGTTGTCTGTCATTTGGTATCCACAAGAAGAAGTTTTCTGGATCAATTATAGAGAAACATCCGCAAATGAAATAACAAAGAGTCTTCATGTCACTGAGCATCATTGTCATGATTTTCTGTTTCTTATCTTCATAAACAAAAGTAATTTTTTGCTGTTGAGGAACCATGAAAATGAAACTCTCGCGAACTGGTGAATAATCACCTAATGTATTGTGTTCATCAAATACATATGATTCTCTATTAATATACAACAACAATGAATACTTTTTTGTTGGATCAATTGTCAAAATTTCAAGGCACTTTTCGTAAACTTCTTGATAAGTCATTGTTATTTCGAACCATGTTTTATCTAAGTTAGTTCCAACACCAGGATTTGTTCCAACATACATATCAACTTGCGGACCAACCTTTCTTCCATCAGCTTCAACGAATGTTCCTTGTATTCTTTGTGCTTCTTGGAGAGGAATCAACTTTAAATATTCCTTTCTCATTCTATTTCTTTCTTTCAAAGTTACTAAGAATTCTTCTCTGAAGTTATCAAATGTTTGTAAAGCAGAAGGAACTTGACTTGTTATATAAACAATTCTGTCTTCGTTTTGTTTGTCTTTCGGCATGTAATTCAATTTCATCACCTTGTTGTTGTAGACCTTGATGTATTTGATATCAAACCATGAAAACTTTTTGTATTTCGTCTCTGATTTGTACAAATAAAGATATTGTGGAGCAACACCAACAATTCTATCTTTATCCTTGAAATTCGGTTGTTCGCCTGCAACTCCGTGTGTATCGAATTGACAAACAAACTTAATAATACCGAAATCTTGGATATTCCTTGTGATCTTCATGAATCTTTTCGCAGCATTAATTGGATCAAATTTTTCATAACTTGCCACTTTTTGTAAAAATTCTTGTTTCAATTCTTCAGAAAAAGGAACTCCGTAAGGAAGTTTCAGCTTGAATAACTGGTCATTGATTGATCTGTTTTGTTTCGGATCGATGACAATGTTATACAAAATCATCAATTCATACATTTGATCCATTGTCACTGATGTTGGCTGAGTATTCAAGTAATACATCGCATCACTTAATGTTTGAACTCTTGTGACACGAGTAATAAAGTCTTCTTTAGATAAAACAAATGCTCTTCTCATAAAGAAATAATGAGTGACATTGTAAACTTGTGCAGGAATAAAGAACTTATTAAATAACGGTTTGTCAATTTTATCGTCTTTAAAAGTGTACAAACCGAAACCGTTGTAAATCGGATGATAAATTTTTGACAAAATGAATTCAACAATTTGTCCTGTTGTTTGTGTTAAATCCATTTTAATGGTTTTAGTGCGGTTATTTGAGAAATGGATTGTAGCGTATATGAAGAGCGGACTTACTATGATTTTCATTCTACTCTTTAGATCAGAAGAAGCAATTAATTGGCCAGGTTCAAACCATTCATTTGAATCTTTCGATCTGTAAAGTAAAACTCTGTAATTTTCTGGTTTTACGTCGAGTTTCAAGTTCTTTATGGCTGCTTCACATAATTGTTGACCTGTCATTGATCTGTCGTAGATAAAGATCTGTGGATTTGGATCATTTACATCTAAAACAGTGTACAATTCAACTCTATCGTATGAAGCAGAGAACGAAATCAGTTCTCCTGCAGCTCTCTTTCTTTGTCTCTCTGCGAAAATGTTTTTGATAATTCTCGCGTTTTCAGAAACAATTTCGAAAAATTCATCAATCTTGTTATCCAATATCTTCAGAGTTATTTCGTATTGTGGGACTTCATATGATTCTTGACATTCCAAAGTTACTTCTTTCCTGTGTACATTTGTTATTCTAAATTGGCTGTATGTCAACATCAATGAATAACAATCATCTTGTTTTGTTGTTTTCGTTAAATGTTTTGTAGCAATTAACAAAGTGATTGGACTGACAATGACATTGCATTTGCTAGGATGAAGTGTGCCATCTTGATCTGTATAAATTGCCCTGAAAAATGAGGCGCCAAATCCAGGAACTAACCGCATTTCTCTCAGAAATAACCGCGCGGAATTCAATTTGTCAGGATGTTTGGCATTCGCGTACTTTTTGGCAATCAAATTGTGGATATCTTCTGGAACTTTGACATTTTGAAGAAGATAGTTAAGATTAAGTGGGAAATAGGCTGGTTCTAGTGGTCCATTTAATGCTTCAATTGAATAATAGCATAAATTGATAATTTGATCAATAGATGGATATATTGTCATTGTATGTAAATAATTTCGGACTTCATTGATTGCAAAGATCGCGTTTTCAAGATTATCAATATCTTCTCGCGAAAAAATGAAGAATCTTCTGTAAAATACGAAAATATTGAAATTGTTTGTTTGTGCTGGTATTGTTTTCCTGAGATTTAGTGCTACTTTGTTACCGTGATCATCTGTTATTTGAAGTGTGTAATCGTGAAAGACGTTGATCTTTAATTTCTGCGCAATCTTTTCTACAATTTCGCCGACAGTAGCTGCCGAATCTATTTCTTGCCTATAATCTTTCGAAAACATGGATCTGATAGTAATTGGTAAATTTTTCGGGAATATGTGAATCGTACATTTCTCCGTAACCTCATAAAACTCTAGCAGATGAATTTCTTTGAAACATTTTGGATCTTCGTCTGGATATTTGATAAAAATTCTGTATTCGATATTCGGATTTATTCCGAGATGCTTGATTGCTGTTTCTAATGTCATTGCGAATGTCATGCTGAGATAATATTGGCAAGGATCCAAATTATTTTCATCATATTGAAAATAAGTTTTCATTGGTGTTAAGCCCTCATAGACTGTAATACTTTCATTTGAATCTGTAATATTAAAATCAACATATTTATCGTCGATAGCGATTTGAATGTTAGATGAGATTTCATTGGAAGCATAATCAAGTGAAGCAGGTGGCAAAGAATCAATCCTTGTTGCATTGTATGCTGGGCATTCATTTAGTTTTTGCGGTTTTCCTTCCAGAAGAAAAATCGAATTAGTTTTACGAATTTCTTGATTGTTTAAAGGTTCGTCGAGAAGTATCTCGTGTTGTTTCAAACTATCTGTGAAATAGTATAGTTTTCTTTTGTTTTTCTGAGGTAATTTTAGGTTATAACATGCGATATAAAACAGTTCTCGTCCTGTAAAAAGAGAACTATATCGAAACTTCCTCGGCTTTTTATCTTTTGTATCTGAAATCGTATAAAACTCGAAAAATTCCTCCATTCTGCTAGAGGATTTTATAAATCGAGGAGAAAAAAAATTGATAAAAAAAGTTTTTTCAAATCAAATTTCTGATCTCCAGTTTTGTGAAGTGGTTGTTGCAAATAAGGGTTTCGTTTTGCGAAAAAAACGTACAATACGCAATTTCGCTAAAAAAACATTTAGCTAGCAATTTCGACCTTTGACTCCACTCAAGACGTCACTTTTTTAATTTTGCGGTATCATATTTTTGGAAAATCTTTATGAATATTATATAAAAAGTCTCTTTAATATCTATATTTCATATTTTTATCGATTTTTAAAGTTTTTGCGAAAAGTATTCAATTATTTTTGCTATTTGGTCGGGTAAATGTCAGATTTGCGACATTTTCTGATATGATATTCAGATTCTACGTTGATAATAATGCTTATAGAACCCTCTTGCTATTGTGTCAAAATTGCGAAACCGATAGCAAAAATATCTCGCAATATCAAAATTGAGATATTGAGTGAATTATGCATTATAGAGATTAAAAATCTGATTTGTGAAAATATCTCATCAGTTTCTAGCTAATTCAAAAATCTTTACTATCTTATTCGATTAAAATGAAAAGGGAATAGTTTCATTATGCTTTAAATGACAGCCTTATAATATAATCATAGTTTTCGCTCAATATGCAGCATTTTTTTTTCGAAATCTATGGTCAATGTCCTAAATACTGATTGCTTTGCATTCATATCTCTTACATTTTCTATACCCACATCACTATTCATTGCTATTCCTATCTTTTTCATTTTTGTTTGTTTCTCATAATTTCTCAAAAAACATGATAACTTGATATTTGTAAATATCATACTTTATAACGTAAATAAGAACTTGACCTATTAAGAAAAGCAGTAATGAAAAGAAAATCTGAAATTCATAAAAATTACAAGTTTCTGATGACAATTAGCTTAATTAAACCAGGTACAAGATTATATAATTGTATTTTCTATCCAATTATCCATATAATATCTTATCCAGAAAAAATAACTTGATCAATACCAAGTGATTTTTTAACTAGTAAATAAAGTATTTTCTTTACACACACATTGTATATCATAGTTTTTTTTTTTGGTTTCGCAAAACATCCAAAAACAAATATGCTATAAAAGTGACAATTTTAGCAAAACGAAACCCTTATTGCAAATAATTAAGAATCAATAAAGCAAGAAATTTTGATGAGTAAAATAAAAACTCTTATGTCAAAAAAAATTTACAAAAAGCAACGTTTTTTTCGAAATAATGAGATTGGAATACATGAAATGAATATCTAAAGCTTTTTGCTAAATTTGATGATTCACTGACAGCTTTTTCATATCAAAATTCACCTTATCGAATAGTTGAACTTTATATTATGATAATATATTTCAGATACCTGATTATAATATATATTTTGAATCAGTATGCATTTTGAAGTTAAAATATTATTCAAAAAATATTAGCCTAGAAAGAAAATAAATTTATATACATACAAGAAGATAGGTTGCATACTTATGCATAAAAGTAGGGAGCTGAGTTATTAGAAGCTGATTGCTTCAGTTTTGGAATTACAATCAAACGCCTTTTCATTGGAAGAAGCATAGAAGTATTCCTTTTTGCAGGAAGAACGTATTCGCGTGTACTGTAATCATTTTCTTTAATCTTCTTCACACAACTTTGGACGTGCGTAATTGAAGGTCTTTTCAAGGGATTTCTGCTAAGGCACATTTTAATCAGTGCGCTAAAAGCTTGATCTATGCCATGTATTTTCTCATATCCCATCTTTATCTCATATAAAAGCTCAGAACCGTTGGTGGCTCCAAAAGGAAGCTCACCTGAGGCGAGCTGATATAAAGTGACGCCTAGCGACCAAATATCTGATTTCATTGGGTCGTGAGGAATCTTTTGTATAACTTCAGGCGCCATATAATCGAAAGAACCGACGTATTTACATGTATCTAAAACATTATGTTCTGTTAAGCCAAAATCTGCAAGCTTTAACTGACCATGAGATGTAATAAATACATTTGCCGGCTTTATATCATTGTGAGAATAACCATTAAAATGACAGAACTTCAAAGCATCAATTATTTGCATGGAATATTGAATAAGAAGATCTCCTTTGATACCATGATATTTATCAATTAAATCTTTTAGGTTTCCACCCGAACAATATTCTAAAATAATAAATTTTTGCTGCTGTTCTTCAAAAACATCATATATCTGAATAATATTCGGATGATCTAGATGAATTAAAGCGGAAACTTCTCTGTGAAATGAATTAGTATTTTCTTCGCTAGAATGATTTGCAGAATCAATAACTTTACAAGCAAATTGTTGATTATATCTTGTGCTTGTAATAAGATAACAACTTCCAAATCCTCCCTTGCCAATTGGTCCATTACTAATATATCCATGAGCATTTAAAGATTCCTCAATGCTCATGATTTGAAATTGAATAGTCATAAAAAATTGATAGAAACTATAGAAAATTATTATGTTGATTAACATTAACAGCCTAACATGATTATTGAATTTTAGTGAAGTTTAAAATTCAATGCGTATTTTTATGAAAGATTTTTAGTTGTTTCATATTAATTTTTATTGTTAGGAAAATTTAATTTTGAAGTCGGATTAAGTAATCATCAAATTGAAAGTGCTAGAAAAGGAAGTTCTGAAAAAAAAAGTGGCTGCTAAATAATTTTGAATGAAAACCGAATTTTCCGATGATGTATATTGAAGTATGGTTTAGCTATATAAATAATGATTAATTTTTGTTTCTGAGTTTGAATTATATAAAATTATGTAAAATAGGAATTATATTAGATATGTATTTCTTTTCATTATCATCTGGTTTCGAAAAAAATGCATTCAAAAATTTGATAATAAAATTTGAAAGCAATTGCAATGCTTTCAAATTTTATTACAAGTTTTCATTAGCTTCTGTAATTCATCAAATACAAAAAAAAATCATAGTGCATGATATTATTAAGGAAATAAAAATTTGACAATTCGATAATTGTCAAATTGGATTTATTGCTTTTATGAAAAAAATGATGCAAAACTTTCATATTTCAAATGTCTTCAACATATGATTTGTAATAATCAAACTTTTATTTCGATAATCAGAATTTTTATCATTCAGCTCTAAACAACCTGAAAGCTGCTACATCTGTTCTGAAACGAGATCATCATTGATTAAGGCTGTTAACTATCAATTTCACTAAAATTATTTCAAATTTATTATAAATCCATAATATTGTTATGCTGATCTGCTGCTAAATACAATTTTATAGATAAATTATTAAAAATAATGAGGAAATAATTAAAAATTCAATTCGAGATCATTATCGTTATCGAGTTGAAATATATGTTACTTATATTTAAGAAACATAAAGTTATATTAAAGAATATCAAAAAAATATGCTTATTATAATAGGATACAAAAAAATTTAAGTAAATTTAAAATATTAATGACCTTTTTTCTCTGCAATATACTTCTTATAGTCATCACTAGTTCCATTTGGATTTGCAAATTGCCAATCAATCATCTGGTCGATCAAATCTTTCAATCCAGGACCCGGTTTAATTCCATGAACAGAAGCTAATGTCACGCCATCCAATATCTGCTTCATCTCATACGATTTCGATAAGTTCTGTTCTTCAATAAACGGTTTAAGTTTGTTATCATAAAAATCTAATAAATCATCAGTTTGTAACAAAGGCCTAACTAAATAAAACAGTGGCCCTGTACTCATAACGAACCTTCCGACATTAACTCTATTCATTCCATCTTTAAATATCTTTTCAACCATTAGTTTTCCATGTAAAATTTTCTTGACATTGTCAGCCAAAGCATTTTGTAGCCTCATTGAACGGACAATTTGGTATGTTATCGCTGGCATTGGCTTATTCTTTTTCTCTGGATCAGGAACAGCTTTCTTTTCTTCGAGATCAAGCAAAACAGCAGCGAAATAAGTTATCATTGAATCATTTCCAGTCAAATCTGGCTGAATTTGATGGACACGACGTACTCTCTGGAGAGTTTTTTCCATGTCGAGTGACCACAATGACTCAGAATCGAAAATTGGAGAGAGCATTCCGCTGCTTATTAAATGTTGCATCGCAAAGAAAGCTGATTTCGCATGTAGCATCTTTGTAAGCTCGGTAGCTATTCTATCTTTTGTGATGTTATGTAAGAAAAGTGGAATAATCTTTGGAATTGCGTCTAATATTTCTTGATCAATTTGAAAATCGTATTTTGCAACGAATCTGAAGCATCTAACAATTCTATTTGGATCGTCTGTGAAATCTTCAATGGCAGATATTGGAGTTCTAATAACTTTATCCTTGATACTTTGAACTCCTTTGACGTAATCTTCGATTTTCATGGTTTGTAGATTGAAAAAGAGTGCATTCATTGAAAAATCTCGATGCCTAGCATCTGATTGCGCTGTTCCCTCTGAAGTTTCGCCTTCGGAATATGATTCAGATCTCAAACCGCAAATATCTAGCCAAAAATCGCGGAACAAACAAACGCGGGCTGTATTGAGATGCTTGGATTGCTCATGGTTTGCTTCTAATATGACTACTTTCGTATTTGGACCTAATACTTTTACCATTGTTTGAGAAAATTCAGTACACGTTGCGCCAGATATTGCAATATCGATATCATCGTTTTCTTTTCCAAGTATTTTGTCGCGTACCCATCCTCCTGCAATTCTAACAATCACATTCTTTGGTAAAATTTCTGTTACTGTTCTTTTAATGATATCAATTACTTCACTATCAAGTTTTGAAAATGCTTCACCGCTTTCTAATTTACGAATATTCTCATCAATCATATTCCAACTAAAAGTGAGATAAAAAAATTATGACTAGAATTGAATAGTATCATACTAGGATAATCACAAAATATTGAACTATTGGCATTTGGCTCTAAAATGTCGTATAATGTATAAATTTGAAGTTAAAAGATTTGAATTTGAGATTTTCTACTATGGTTTTGATCGCTTAAGCTCTATAAATCTATGGGATAATGAAAGTCTGATAAAATATTGTTTCGAATTCATATACACCTAAATTATTTAATCTGTTAGAGAAAAGATGAAAATAGTCAAAAGTAGATTTATGTATGGCCTATATTGTATAATTATCTTACAAGTTATCATATCTGGTGTGTAAGGAACCCGTGCCCATAGTCTTACTTGTTTTGTTAAATGACCATTATCATTTGATGGCAAACCATCATTAATGTATCTATTTAAGGGACTACAATAAAGACCAATAGCATAGAAATAGGTGCGAACACCAGGATTTCCATCTATAAAAGAATAAATTTCCTTTCCATAACCAATTGTTGTTTTAACAAGACCACCCCAGTCATATGCTGGAAGTTCGGTGAGATTGGCTTCAAAGTTCGTTGCGGTTAAAATATTAGGGGTTTCCAAATTATCAAGTGGGGAATATTTTTGTTTGAAAACATTGATCATGGAGAGAAGAGGATATTCAAGGATGAAATGTCGAAGATTGTCATTCATAACATAAAAACTTTGGTTGAGTTCATCAAGAAGTGAAAAAGTGCCGGCCTGGATGTTATGGGTTGCTTCTTCTTCGTTTTGAAAGCATTTTGTGATCCTTTGATCATGATCAAATACAAGTTTATAAAAATCACCCTTGTACTTAGTAAATTGATAATATTTTCCATAAATGGGTTTTAATCTCAATTCATCTCTTCATTATAAAAAAATTGTCACTTTTTCAATAGTTGATAACTTACTGAAGGGTAGCTTCCGACCAAATTGTCACTTTTTAGCCCAAGTGAGAAAATTTCGTAATTTATAACCAAGTTTTTTAAAATCTATATTTAATAAAGATTCTATTTTTCTTATTAAATTTCAAAAATGAGGGGGTTCTTATCTCATGCTGTGTTTTTGATTCCAATCATGGCTCCAATTCAGATGGTGGCAATATTCGCCAAGAAAAAGGACAAATTGTACAATATCGAATATGCAGTATCAATATGTCCCTAAGCTCATATTGGTCATATCCGCATTCATATATAGAAGCAACACAAGGCAATTCATACAAAAATTATTTAATTGAATCAACCATCACTGGAAGTCAAGGAAATACAGGACCAATTGGTCATTATAATGGTGCAAATATTGTTCGAAATGTAAATATTTCTAATTCATATGCATCAGATGGAAATTCTGTCTATATTATTTCTGGAAATTCGGATTTGGATGCGATTGTTTCATATTCAACATTTATTAATAATGTTGCTGCTAATGAAAGATGTTTGTTTCATTCTAAAAATGGAATTAAAATCAGCCATTGCAACATTATGTCAAATGAATGTTCAATGGAATCAGAATTTTTAAATGGAGTTATTTTTACAGATATATATGTTCACATTTTGATTACAGGTTGTATCATATCAAACAACAAAGGAAGTACTTTATTTTTTTGCATATGAAGGTTCTTCAATCGAAGTTTCTTCTTGTTTCATTCAATTAAATACTTATAGCTATTACACTTCATCATTTTATGATCCTGCTAATTTTCGAATTTCAACAACAGATTCACTTAATATTGAAAATTCTCATATTTCCATAGCACTTTGTTATGCAGAATTTCAATTTTATTATTTGAGGAATATTACAACAGATAAATTCAAATATAAAAATAGAGAAGACACAACGATAACAGGAAACGTTTCATTTAACCGGAATAAAGAAGAATCATTTACACTTGAAATTTGGATTGATAACTATGAATCAACTATATTCAGTAAAGAAAGTGGATCTCTTACATACCAATATTCAATCAAAATCCCAACTAATTTATCAATTGGAAATCACAAAATATATGCCAAGTTTTCGGATGAAAAAAATAAGTGTATCAAATACAGTTTCTGTTGATTTTCAATATTTGAGTCCATTTTATATTAATTTATTGGAAATTGAAAAAACTCAATACAACAAAACTCTTGATGATAGTATTAAAATCAATGGAACTCTTGTTTATTCAGAATATTTTGAAGTTAAATGCAGTATTGGAGAAAAATTAAGTAATTTTAACTATATGGGCATCTTGAATCCGCCTACATGTAATTTTTCAGGTCATTGTGACATTCAAAGTCAATTGTGGATGAAAATACATACACACTCAAAGTTTGGGCAGTCTCAAATAGTGGTGAACAAACAGAACCAAAATCAAAAACATTTCAATTTTATAGAAACTATCCCGTTCTAAATATTTCAAATACAATCAAAGATTTATATATGCACAATGTTAATAACAACATTTCAGTTACAGGGTTTGTTTCAGATGCTGATTGTGATGATGAAGTCAAAGTCAAAGGAATTATTGAAGGATATCCAAATAGTCAAACATTGCAATCAATTTCCATTCCAGATCTAGATGATTATCAATTCAACTTCAATATTACTATTCCAGACAATCTTTCGCATGGTTATCATCGTCTTAATTTTGAATGTTGTGACAAAACTGGAAAATGTGTTTCAGAATATAAATCATTTTATTACGGATTCCATAGTCCAAGACTCAGTATTATCAAAATCCCGTCATTCCCTGTTTATATTGGTAAAGATAAATTTATTAGATTTGTCCTTTCTGTTTATGATATGGATGGATTTAGTATCATTAGAATTTATCACAGGATTCATAAAACTATCGGCAATCTTGTAAACATTACTCTTACTAATGAAAGCTCAATGGAATTTGAATATAAAATTCCAATTACAAGCGAAATCAATGTTGGTAAACACAATATATCTTTTTTTGCTTTAGATCAATTCGATTTTGCTTCATCATATCCTATAATAGAAGTTGAATTTGGTCAATTCAAATCTGAACCCCCATTGATTTATTCCATTCCGAGAAGAAGAAAACGTTGATTTTAACATCACTAAATCATTTATTAAAGACTTATTTAAATACTCTTTTTTCTTTATTCAAAGTATCTTCAGCATAATTCGCCCTGAAATTTTTCAAATACGCAAAAAATGTACAGATTCAATTTTAAATAATCGGTTTTGTGCATTTTTTGCACCCTATGTAAAACTCAAAAAAAATTGAGAGAATGTTAAGGGTGCACTTGCCACTTTCTGACATTCTCTCAATTATTTGACACGCTCTAATTTGTGAAATAGATTTCACCACAATATAAGCAGATTTTTTCTTTTCAAATTCAATAATAGGCCATAATGTTATATCGAGTCTTCATTATAACAACAATATGAACCTCTTTTGTCAGAAAATTTGAGAGAATGTCAGAAAGTAGTAAGTGCACCCTTAATTTGATAAAAAAAATAAATAAATATTTTAATAACATGGCGCAAAAATAATTCTTCCGTCAACTGTCACAGCAAGAACTCCTCCTTGCTCCGGAAGATAAGTAACAAAAGGAACTTCGCACGAGCATCTGTAAATCTGTTCGTCGATGTTCAGATAGAAAGCTTCAAACTTGTAAATTCTTCCTTTGTCATCAGCTGCGATGATATAATCGAAACCATCATTCGACTTGTAGCAAGACCAAGACGAGATTGCAGAGGCGATTGACCTCTGTCTAATGAGATTTCCGTTTGGACTGTACACAGCAATTACGTGGTTAAGTATTCCTTTCTGAAGAACAGTCATATAAACAACGACGAAACCCCATTGATGAGTTACCAAAATCTTGCAAGGTCTTGATTGTTCTCCCAAATCAACAGTTGCGAAACTTGTTCCTCTACTCAAAGAAATGAAGAACAAGAAACCATCTCTTGTTCCGCAAGCTGCCAATCCGAAACTCCTTGAAATAGACACGCACATCACTGAATCTCTGTATAAAGGAATTGAGAAAATGTATTTCATTTCAGTACTCAAAGGATTTTCTTGTTTATAAAATGTTAAAACACATCCTCTGTTTGCTGTAACGAACCAATTCTTATTCGCAGAGATCAACGTGACGTCTTGTATATTTGTCTTCATTGTCTGCAGTTTTCCATTATTTACATAAGTAACATTTCCTGCATTAACGAAACAAATTGTTGAACAATCATTTAATTCTGCGAATTTTCCTTCTTTCTTCTTAGTAATAATTCGCGAGAAATCATCGATTTGGAACAAAACAGTGCTTGGACAACTCATTCCTGATCCTGTAGGATTGAAAGAACTTCTTCTAAGTTGTGTATTCGCGTTCAAAAATGAGCCTGCCAAGTTGGACATCGAAGAAGATCTGTCGAAATCCTGTAATTTGTCAAAAGAAAACGATGAAACAATTGTATCGTTTTGGTTTGACTTAAACTTGGAGAAAGAATTCTGGGATTCGATTTGTGAAGCGATTTGTGCAGCTTGTTTGATGTTTGCGATTGATTGGCTGAGATTTCCAAACGTGATTCTCTTCGAATTCGATTTCGGAATGATCGAATTCGAGTTCATTTCTTTGTTCACGTGTTTCACAATTTGGATGAAGTCAACCATTGAATCAGTGATTTTTCCACATTCATCCAACGTAATGATGTGATAAGAATTCGAATTTGACTTCGATTTCCTGCAACAAGTGAAAACAATCGAATCAGAAACGATTTGGAGAACAATCTGGTTCTTAACTAATGAGTTTGTCTTCTTCTTTTGTTCGCGAATCGGATGTAAATCATTAAATAATTTTAAGGGGGAGTAACCAGAGTCACTTTTTGAATTAGTGTCACTTTTTGGGTTTTGAGAGTAAATTTCAGGTTTAAATAAATTAAAAGCTGGAATTGCACCGACACCTTGTTGCAACGGTCCCCAGATTAAGTCGATCCACCTTGAGATGTTCTTGGAAACTATCTCCGACTCGAGAGTTTTTCGATTTAAGTAGACAAACTCGAAAGCAGAATTATTACACCATTCAGGGAAAATTAGATTTCCTTTTGTAGAAGAAATGAAGGCTTCTGGAAGGAAATAGAACTCTGCAGGTAATTCACTAAATGAGTTCATACTTTCCGTCGAATTCTTGTATATTTCTTCATAACTTTTGAACGGTTTTTCATGTGAAAAAGGTGACAATCTTGATAAATCATTTCTTACGTCGTCAGGAGATAATTGGGATGCGTTCAAGTGGAAGTTCTCTGGTCCTTGTTTTTTAAACTCGCTCATTATCTCCAAGATCCTGTTCTCACCTAATTGGCTCATCGGTTTTCGTAAATCTCTCAAAAATTCTGACTTTTCCAATTCAAAAATTTTTCCGAAATCGTTAATCAAAAACGGCATCAACGGATAATGTTCCAAATCATTAAATGTTCTTCCGCTCAACCTGTTCAAATGCATCAAATAATCAAATGTAGATATCTGGTGCTGCTGCCAAAGTTTCGTGAAAACATTGACATTTGTATTTTGTATCGTTAATTTGTTTGATTTTAACGTATTAAAGACGATAGAATAATCGTCATCGTTAAAACACAATAATTTTGTTTTCTTGTCTTTGAAGAAGAACTCTATTGCCTTTTTATTTCTTATATTCTTATGTTGTATTACGTATTTTATTGTGTCAAAAGGCCATTCTCTTAATGATCCTTCTTCTTTTCTCAAGAAAATCGAATTTTGGATGAAGAAAATCGCTTTTGTCACTGAGAAACAATTGACAATTTCACAGAGGAATTCGTTCTTCGCAATGGCTTTGAATTGTAGCTGTGGAATATCATCGTATTTGTATTTCGGCCAATCTCTTTTTAGACGACTTGGACAACCGAATGAACACAAAGAATTATCTCTCTTCAAAGCGATTTTTGTTTCTATTTTGTTGGCAATGGTCCATGGAGCACCATCAATTGTAAGATTTCGCCATAATCTCGTCCATAATTTCTCACTTTCTCTTCTGTTCTTTTGTAATTTAAAGATAAAATTCCTTTCTTGATTTGAACACATAGAAATCGCTTTTATGTCTAATAGACTCAATACTTTGTTCGATTTTTCATGTATTGTGTTTGTATTACTCTGCCACATCTTTAACAAAACAAAGGAATCATTTGTTTGAGTGGTCATTTCACTTTTCTTTACAAATTCATCAATTGCTTTTGACGCTTCATTCATTGTTGATTCAGGCAATCTGAATAGCAAAGGATGGGAGTTCTCTGCGCATTTCATGTTCAATAATGCGAATAATGGAATATTGTCAGATAAAACACTTTGTGACAAATTTAATTTCAAAAAGTGACTTTTGACAATATCATAATAATAAGGAACCAAAAACACGCAAAGTAGGATGTCGAAAGAGATGAAATCTTGGGAATTCCATCTTTGGAACAATCTCAAACATTTCTCAGCCAAATCGTGGTCTTGCCAATCTCCATCTGCTGCAATTCGAAGTGAAAACATCTTCATTTTTGTTTCACTTTGTTTCCTTTGGTTGTTTCTGATTAAATTAGTCACTTCATTCGGTGTCATCCACATGGATTTGCCACTTTTCTGTCTGAAGTTCATGAAATACGATTCCTTAGATACATCTTGTGTTGTCATTGACCTCTTTCTTCGTAAAACTGACTTCTCAAATGGAGAAAAAAGTGTCAATGTTGATAAAGCCTTGTTATCATTGTCGTAGAAGATGAATTCTTCGACAATCTTGAAGAAGGAGTGGATCAAATCTTTCCTGCAAACGTTATTCAACAAATAATCTGCAATTATATGTAAGAATTTGCATTTCAGATTTGATGTCTCTTGGATTCCTAAGGATTCGGCGATAACATCAATGGATTCGTATATATTCTCGATTGTTTCCGCAATGTTCTCGATATTCGAGAAGATTAAGAAATTAAATAATTTATCAATGCAAGAAGCCGGAGAATTGATGATCAGTATCATTGGCCAGAAGAACCATGTTGATTCCAAACAGTATTTAGGATCAGGGACCAACTTATCTGACAATTTTATTATGAAAGTTTGTCCTAAATTGATCGCGAGCCAGCAGACGATCGGCAACAGTTCAAAGAACCCATTTATCATCATCTCGGTCAGTGTTGAAAACAAAGATTCTCGGACAATATCGTGTGTCATTTGGCTAAGGATGATATTGATGTGGTCTTGGACAGTGATCTCTTTGAACAAGTTGTTTTGCTGGGCAATGAAGAGGATTTCGAAGACCATTGAAATAATATTTTCATCATTAAAGGAAAAAGTGAGCATTAGAAGACTCAAACTATCATTTGTGAAGTCTTCTTTCATTGGACATGGCTTTATTTGCAATAACTCACCGATAATATGCAAGAATTCCTTTGTCGGAGAATTTGGAGTGATTGTTATGCCAATTAAGAAGAGAAACTCGTTGTCTGTGACTCCGAACTCAATTGCCATCTGTAATATGATGTATTCGATGGCTCTCAAGCAGTCATTTATGTTTACATTTTCTGCAATTTTAATTTTGTTCAAGGAAGGTCCGTAATACAGCTTCATAATGGTTAGCAACTGTTTCATTGGCCTTAACTGATGGAAGTAACTCGAGTAAGATGTGAATAACGCCCTTGCCCAGTGTTTCAAAATTCTTGTGTGGGAAATTCCATCACTTCTGCTCCATAAAGATAGGTTAAGGAGAATGGCATCGAGTAGCTCTGTTATTAGTAAGTCTTCCTTAAGGCATTCAAGCATTGCCGTGAAATGTAAGTAAAGTTCATAATTGATGTGTTTCATATCACATGTCATGAGCAAATGGGATATAATATGGAATCCATCTGCTTCTGCGAAGAACTTTTGGGCTTCCGATGACATGGATAGGGTACTTGAGAAGACATCAATGATTAATCCTTCGTAAGAAACTTTGTTGTCGACAATTTTACAATCTAAATTATTAAATAAAGGAAGTAAGAACTCTACTTTGCACATTTGACCAAGAATTTCGCTAAATGATACTAGTGTCTCTTTGTCTTTGTAAGAATAGTCCATAGAAACTCCGAAATTCTTTTCACTTTCAATAAAAGCTAATTCGTTCTGTCTGATCGTTGTTCTAGCGCATAATATTGTATCTTCGAATAATGGCGGGTCGCTTCTTGGTCCTGCTTCGTAAATACCCATTAAATGTTGTTCTGTCAAATCTCTCAAGAAAGAAAAGCCGCTGAACCTACTAGCGAAGGCAGATATCTGGCTTTCTGGTGGTAGGCCACCGATTACTACGTCGATTGACTTCTTCTTCCATTCGAAATTTGGTAAATTAATTTTTCTCGGTTCCTGGCAATTGCAGCTGGCCACCATTATATACTGCTTCTTCATCTCATCGTAACAGTACTCAACTGATATCAAAACCCATGATCTTGGCTGAATTTGGATATCAATTGTTGCTGTTGTGTCGAAATCGTCCGAAATATGAGTTACTACTAATGCTGATGCCGAAATAGATATCGATATCATCTTTTCATCTGTTTCCGGCAACAATATTAATCTTGGTTTGTATTGAGCTGAATCTGGTTCGTACCAGACCCAAATTGTCAATGCCCATGTGTTCTGTATGATGCTTGTCGGTACATCTTTGATTGTTATGATCGAATCATTCGAAAATGGCATAGAAACTAAAGGAATTCTTCTGGCAATCGACATATTACTCGTAATTGCCCGCAGAGCGTCGATGTTCAGTTGGGAAATTATGCCATTTTGAGGACAAATCAAAGAAACGTACTTTTGCATGAAAGATACGGAGGAAATAACAGTTGATATCCTGTTGAGAGCTGTAAAAATATCTGTGGACATCGCGGCGCCTTGGTCTGTCTTCAAAATTGAAATCAATTTGAGATCAATTTCGCCAATATGCAATGCCAAGCAGTTTTTATAGGAATACTGGCATATTCCACCGAGGAATCGGATCACTTCGCCAAATGAGTTGCCGCCTTGGTACAAATCAATGATTAAATGTAAAACTTTCGGTTGTTTTACAATAATTGAAGTTGATTGCGAGGCCAATGCAGTGGAAGCAGCAACTTGGACGAGTTTAAGGAAGATCTTGATTGGTGGGCCCTTCGGATATATGTTTTTGATGATGTTTTCTACGGCATTTAACTCGGGATTTGTTAATGTGTGCATAATCGAGACTTGAGCGAGATATCCGATGAAACTGTCAATGAACTCTTCACTCTCAGGCGTTGGCTCTAAGATTGCGCCACATTTTATCAAAGTAAAAAGCAATTTTTCAAAAATTCCTGCAAGTTGCCATTTGTGGATCAAAACATCGGTAATTGTATGCAATAAATCCGAAACAAGCTCTACACTCTTGATTGCTGGGAACATTGGACAAGTTATATCCATATAACTTGATAACAGGTGTAAAAGGTTGATATCGGTATCTTTTTCGGATACTAGGTAGCTTCTAACGTTGCTTAAGACGAATTGTCTTATCTTTGGTTCGTATGAAAATACAAGAAATTCTTGGGCGAAGAATCTGCTGGAAAAGCACTCAGCGACTATTGTTTTCTGCTGGAAAGTAGTATGAATAACGAAGAAAATTGACAAAAGGGCCTTTCTTGTAGAGTCATTGTCAAATGTTCTGTAAAATAACGCGGATTTGATGAGAGAACTCGTAATAAGATTCGATGGTATTGAGTTTCCGCCTATTGCAATGAATCTATACATGATTTCTGCGAATAATAAAGGATATTTTCTGACTTCTGAGAGATAATTAATGAGAATTTCTGGTTTGGTGAGGAATAGTCTTAAAGCGTAGTTTCTCAGTAGACTTAAATATGCAAAATTTTCTGGATTATTGTAAATTGTAATTTCTGGGCAAAATAAAGCTTTGCTGTGCAACATTTCATCGAGAATTGTCATGTTTTGTATTTGTGGTATAGCATTGGCCATGTAAAGGACAACTCCGAAGAGTTGAAGCGTATATGAAGATTTAATTTGGCATTTTATGCATGAAAATAGGTTATTCATGAAGTCTGGCACTTTTGATTCGTAGAATTTGAGAATTGAAATGATAACGTCGATTTTTGTGATGAAATCTGAACCAATTAAGTCATTTATCGTTAAAACATCAGTTAAATCTTTCACTTCTTCGATATTAAGTCCATTAGGGAACGAGTCGTAGTTTAAGAACTGTAAAAGTGAGTTATCTGCTTGACTATCGTCAACTTCGACAATTTCTCCTTTTTCTGGAACGGAACAGTGGGGAACTGTGCTTGCAGCGTTAACTATTGCCATGGAAATAAGCTCCATGAAGTGGTTTAAGTTGTCTTCTTCCCGTAAATACGGACATAATTTTTGGAAAACAGAAATCGAATTGTAATCTAATGCAGAAATGTGGTATACTATGGATTGTATAAATTCCGATGCTACGCTTGATGGCAAATCAAGTGAAGTACATAATAATAAGTAATCATAAAATTTATCTTCAATGTGAGTGGAAAAATTTCTTTCTGAAGCGGTCGGAACAGCCAGAAGTAGAAGTTTATAAAATATGTCTGGGGAGTGTCTATTCTGGGTGAGGAAAATAACGAGATATGATGTATAGTCGGAGAAATTAGTTTTTTCTTTCGATAAAAACTCATTGAATAAGAAATAGAATATGGAATGTGAAATTACTGTTGATTCCTTTGCATCACCAAAGATACTTGAATCTGATATAAAAGAAATTGCAGAAATTAAGGACTTTGGAGGCAAACTATTATCTTTATTTGCTGCAATCCATGTAAGAAAAGCTAAGTGAATGTAGTATGATGAAATATAAATGGATTTAAGTGATAAATTTGGACTATTGATAAATGTCAACAGAGATTCTTCATCGAACGGAATATTTTCGAATACTTCGGATAAGAGAGATCTCGGATTGTCTGATGATTGTAGTCGTTTGAGAAAAGGAAAATAATCATTTGCAGGAATAAGCTGCAAACTGACAATCTTATCAATATATGGTATATCTGTGTGAAATGATGATAGCTGGAAAGGCCCTTCCTCAAGAATTGAAGAATAAATCTCAGTTTCGTTCAGAAGGGCCTGATTTTGCATAAAAAAATTTTTGTAAAAATTTACAATCAAATACAAACCCATAAAAATTCAGATAAAAAATGTTTGATTCTTATATAAATTAATGAAATTAAAAGATTTTATTGGCGGATGTGCATCGGATATGCATTCTGGGTTTTCGCAATTTTCCTAAACAGAAGATATTGCAGCGAGACTAAGGGAAAGTTATTTATTGTACAAATGGTAATTCGGATTCACCTCTTATGGATCTTTAATTCAATTGTGAATGTGCTTATGAAGCAAATAAAAAAACTTTTTTGATTTTAAGCAATAATTATAATCAATTCTTAAAAAGATATATTTCTGTCGTTTTAGAAATTCTTAAAACTGAAGAAAACATATCAAAAAAATTTCAAAACTCCAAAAATTTAAATAATTTTTCTAATTTTTCTAATTTTTTTGGAGATTTTTATAGGCATTAAATAGCTTCATTATTGATTAATGAATCTGATTTCGATATTAAATGGATGATTTGTCAGTTTTCAAATTTTCAAATGCCCGAATTTATGCATCCATTTTTGAATGTTATTGTAGGATTCGCAGGAGGAATTACAACAGTTTCTCTTTGCGTAGCCTCCTACTTAATATCTCTTTATGGAATGATCGAACTCTTAGAAGAAAACAGAATATTCTTCAAAAAATTTTCAAAAGCTGTTGGAGTCTTTGTTGCCGTGCTAGGATTAGCACTTCCATTACGTGGACATCCATTTTATGCATTTTTACTCGCAAGTTGGTGGTGCACTTTATTATTTGAAAAAATCCCTGTTTTCTCTCTTTATCAGAGCTTAGCAAATGGTATTATTTCAGCTATTTACTGGATACCTAAGTGCATGGACGAAGATGCAACACTTTTCCAATCATTCGGTGATTTCACAGTATTTGTACTTATTCCTATTAGTTTTTGCTTAGTTTTATTCTCAAAAGATAGCGAACAACTTACAGCAAGAGGAAATATTAAACTTTCAGGACCCCAGATTCCACTTGGCTCTTGGCTAAAGAAATTAGGATCAACACTCTCGAACTTATTATGAAGATACGATTTTACATACTTGTTTTTCAAAACGTCAAGAAAATTCCAAAAAATGTATTTTTATTGCTTGTAATTATATAATAAATGTTTTATTGAATTTGTTTCAACTACAACATATAATACCCTGTTTGAAATTAATATATTATTTTTGATCTAATATTTTTTTGAATAAAGTAATTTAATACTCATTATTCTCACTTTCTACCAATGGCCATGCTAATTTATTCTCTAGATATTGCTCATTTCATCAAAATAAAATTTCGATTTTTATATGATAATCAACTCTATATAAAACACTCTATTTTAGTTATTACAAATATATTTTGACAATGAATATACTTATTTTTCTTATTATTTGGAGAAATTATTTTTCGAAATCAATTTCCCTTAGAATCTGACTGGTTCTTATCATCAGTTTCTTCATTTTCATTTACATTCTCATTATTTTGTTTCTTATTTTCTTCAATATTTTTCTCATTTTCTTTATTTTCAGATTTCTCTTCATTTCCATCATTTTGCCCTTTTTATTCTTCATTTTCATTATCATTTTCATCATTTTGTTCCTTGTTTTCTTCAATACTTTTTTCATTTTCATTATTACCAGGCTTTTCCTCATTTTCGTTATCATTTCCATCATTTTGTTCTTTGTTTTCTTCATTTTCTTGGTTTTCTTCTGGTATATTTTCAGGAATTACAGGTTTTGGCGGAGAAAATGGTTTTGCATAGAAAACTACATAAGCAGAAGCGGAAGTTCCATCAGGAGGAGTCGTAGGAATTACTGAGGAATCATTAAAACTGTACCACTTCTCTCCTCTTTTTCCAATTGCAGTGTAATGACCAAAAGAAAGTGTTCCTGAGTGCTGCGAAATACTTCTGAGCTCGTAGTGCTGATATCCATCACCACAATGCTCATCTTTCAAGTCAAGAGTCAAAGGAATCTGAATAGGAGTGTTATCTCTTGTAGATTTCCTTCCTCTGCCATTAAATCTCTTGATTTGAAGGGCCAGGACATCAGGAAGATGCTTAAACTTGAAGTATCTACGTGCACATGACATAGAATTGCAATGTTCGCACTTCCATTGGTTTGATGAATCCAAAACAACGGAAGAAGTGAAGCTAAACAAGAGATCATTGATGGTGAATGATGGAGGATCACATATCTTAACTCTGTTCGATAGAATTCCTTGTTCTTCCGAGACAATTATCGTTATTCTTTGGAATTCTTCAATATCTTCGAATTCTGGAGTTCTTGGGTCCAATGTAAGTGAAGCTCTGACAGATTCTCGCTTGCTTTCAAGCCACATATGCTGTGCAACTTCCCAAATTTGATCAAGAATCTGATCATGAGTGGAATCGTCATCAATTGAGACTACAAAAGGTAGACATATGTTTTTACGATCTTGGTCAACCATTTTTGTAAGGATTCTTTTCTTTCCTGTCTCTTCAATTTCGAATGCAAGATGATCTATGGCGTCATCATCGAATTGATCGACCACTTTCATACCAGACATCGATCTTGCAACTAAAAGAATGCTAACATCAGTCGGAACTTGGCAAACTCTAAGCATTGGCTTAGATATATCAAGAGGAATGTAAATAATCTTTCTATTTTTGGCAATTGGCAATGAAAGCGTTGTAAATGGCTCTACAACAGTGGAAATTTCACCACAGTTTGCGCATTTCGTGGTGGATTCCATGTATCCGAAAAATAAATTGTCCATTATTGATTTATTCTTCAATTCCTTCTTACATTCATCATGCATACCATCGACTAAGAAGGAATAGAACTCTTGGGAATCTTGTTGACCAAATGATGAAAATAATGGACAAACTCTTCCGACAGCGCGCTTTATTTTGCTTGGTTCTGGACTTCCTGATAAATATCCTGATACAAAATCAGCAAATGAATTGGATAAAACAGGTTTATCACTCTCATTTATAATTTTTGGCAAATTGTAAATAAATTTCGGAAGAGAAAGAATACATTGCAACGCAGAATTCATGTAACAAGTGTTTCCCATGTTATGTAATCCATGTGGCTTTAATTCACATGAAGAAAACTGATTTTCAACGACTGGCGCTTCTTCTTTAGGTTTTTCTGGAACAGCTTTCGATTTGGCTGCTCTTAGGGCCCTTTTTGCACGTTTTCCAAGCTTTGGTTTTGAAGAATTTTTTTCAGAATTAAGTGGAGGCGGTTGATTTTGTCCGGACATTGTAGGCTGGATTGCTACTGTTCCAGGTATTCCAGATGTATCAATTGCAACTACAACATTCCTTAATCCTGCTAATGTTTCTCCAATTGTATCTTTTATTTCGAGAGGAGTTGTAGAATTTGGTGGGAGAATCACTAGTGCTTGGTTACGTGGTATATGGAAAGAATTAATGACTTTTTCCATAAAATATTTGACTTTCATATTTCTACTTATTATAATTTGCGTTTTTGCTGTTTTGTATTGAATATTTAGTTGTAATTTGACAATCTCAGCTGTACCATCTGGCAAAACTGCAACTTTTATTTCTGGACCACCGCCAAAATTAGTTGAAATGTAGTCCCAGACTTCAAAAGATACTACTTCAAAGTCTTCACCTTGTTTTATATCCTTTTTTAATTGTCCTTGTTTAATTAATTCTTTATTATTTACTTTCGTGTTATCATTTTCTCCATTTCGCTCTTCAACTTGTCTGAAAAATCTTGTTGAAACAATAAATGCATCATTTAAAGGCTGAATAGGATACTTCTCTATTAATGATCGTATATTCTCAATATCAGACATGAAAAACAAATTGAAATTTGACAATCACAAAAGCAGTGCTTATCGGTTTATATATTAGAATAGTTATAATAGAATTTCGATATTCTACTTTTAGATAAATTTTAGTAGTATATGAGTGCGGGTTTAGTGACTTTTTTTGTTACATCTATATATAGACGGATGCATTAAAATATATTTATTTATAAATCATTAAAAAATTAACATTAATTTTAAAATAATTTATTTTTTATCTTTTATAAAAGAAGTTATATATAGATGATGTCAGATATTCCGCGATTAATTAAACATTGTTTAAATCCTGAATGGGTTAAACTTCAATTTAAAAATGAAGATTGTGAATTATGGCGTCAAAAATTTTCTCACTGGGTTTTCGTCTATCAATCCCAGCTCATTATATACGCAACCAATCAAAAATCTGATATGGGAGTCCAAGGCTAACTTTTTGTTGTCTACCTAATAAAAGAGGAAGCAGCATTAGTGAGAATAATCGCAAATATTCAATTTAAATTATCTTTTTATTCTTAATTTAAAGTGACAAAAAGAATAAAAAACCTATTCTAAGGCATGTTGTTATGTAAATGAGACTAGACATCATATTTTATGTTATGAAAAAAAAATATTTAGAATTTTAGAACAAAATAAATAGAAAAAATAGCATAACTTATGGATGTGCGTATATTAAATTTAATAAATTAAGAGAAATTATTTTTGGCGCCAAAATTATTCGTTAACTCTCAAATTTTTCTGAGTCAATAAGCCGCCAAAAAAGTGTCATTTCTTTATAGGAAAGGAAACCTATTTGACGAACAATCCGGACACTAGTGCCTCAGCGAATTTCCCCAAACCCACCAATCCCCTCCCTGCTGTTGTGCACCATCGATGGAAAGTAAGTCATCAATAGTCTCTTTTCCTGATTTCAAGCTAACGTTAGATCATTCATGAAAGAAATCATTGCCTTTCATCAGAGACTTTCGTTATAACTGCGCTGCTCTCAAGTTCATCTTGAGAAATTTGTAATAACTGAATTCCCAAAGTTCTTTAGGTGATCCAAAACACTGTAGCTGCTTGAACTTTGGACGAGCCTCGCACCCCAGAGAATAGAAATCCCAATCTTGCTCATGTTTAGTTGAATTAGTCTGCAGCAGTACAGCTCTGATACCACAAGATCGTGATGTATACAAAGTCACAACGCTATTTGATTCAACAACTAGCTAGTTTTGACATCAAATTGCAAAATTTGACTTCGTTATGAGCTCTTTGTAGCAAAAATACATTACACTTAAAGACTAGTTGCTAGACTGTAGTAGTTTGTTCGTATATATCTATTTTTCCCCAACGTATTGCATACTACATTTTGACAAGACTTGCAACCTTATAGTAACCTCGTTGGGAATTGTTCAAGCAAAGCGTAGGTAGTTAAGGTCGAGTAAGAGTTCTTCTTAAATCTTTCACTGAATGAGTAGGTGTTGGAAGAACTGTTCTCTAAAGCGATACAGTTGCGCTACATGTTCGTCAACTTGTCTAGAAATAAATATATCATTTGTTTTATACGTTTTTTCGTAATAAATCTATTTGTATTTGTTGTATTTGAGTATGAAGATAACAAAAACTACGGCATAAGACGCAGTACACTGGGCTTCGTTGCCATTTTATTTACCATGTTAAGAATAAACTTAACAGACATGCTTTGTTTTCGACGAAGCCATCTAAAATAACGTACATCTAAATAAAACTAAAAAACTGTAAAATTTCTTTATTTGATAGTATACTTCAAATTATGCACTATACCTTCTAGAATTCTATAACACTCTTTGCATATAATTTTTAAAAAAAAAGTTATATCTCGACAAAAATATGATTTATCAATAGAGTATGTAAAATAAAACTCATTCGCAGTATTAAAAAATCGTAAATCTTTCCAAAAAAATTTTGAATTACAAATTTTAAAACTTAAAACAACATTTTTTGAAGCGAAAAAACGAAATCTAATTTTTTTTTGGAAAATTTAGAATAAATAGAGCTCTTTAACTCGTCGAATACAAATTGTTTTCAAGTTTTTTTCGACCGGAAATTGAACTTTTAGAGTTTATACAATAAGATTCACATGAAAAAATACGGGTTTAACAAAGAAATCACCAATATAAAGGTTTTTTTAGTAGAACGAGATTGATAAAAACTATGGTATGATAAAAAGACGATAATTTTTTTGGCGGGATAATTGAAGAATATGAATGATTCGAATTACAGACATACTCTAGTCCGAAACTTACTATGGTTCGTGACTTATTTTTGACACAGAATAGCTGTAGACTAAGGCTTACTCTAGATCCAGACTTATTATACAATTAAATTTGCTTTTGGAATAAGACTTAATTTTAGTTACAAACTTATCTTAATATCAGACTTATATTTAGAATCAGACTTACTTTAGTCTAGAACTTACATTTAGAATCAGACTTCCATTTCAAGTCAGACTTACTTTCGTCCGAAACTTCCATTTCAAGTCTGTCTTACTTTCGTCCGAGACTTACATTTCAAGTCAGACTTACTTTCGTCCGAGACTTACATTTCAAGTCATACTTACTTTCGTCCGAGACTTACATTTCAAGTCAGACTTACTTTCGTCCGAGACTTACATTTCAAGTCATACTTACTTTCGTCCGAGACTTACATTTCAAGTCAGACTTACTTTCGTCCGAGACTTACATTTCAAGTCATACTTCCATTTCAAGTCAGACTTACTTTCGTCCGAGACTTACATTTCAAGTCAGACTTACTTTCGTCCGAGACTTCCATTTCAAGTCAGACTTACTTTCGTCCGAGACTTACATTTCAAGTCAGACTTACTTTCGTCCGAGACTTACATTTCAAGTCAGACTTACTTTCGTCCGAGACTTACATTTCAAGTCAGACTTACTTTCGTCCGAGACTTACATTTCAAGTCAGACTTACTTTCGTCCGAGACTTACATTTCAAGTCAGACTTCCATTTCAAGTCAGACTTACTTTCGTCCGAGACTTACATTTCAAGTCAGACTTACTTTCGTCCGAGACTTCCATTTCAAGTCAGACTTACTTTCGTCCGAAACTTACATTTCAAGTCAGACTTACTTTCGTCCGAGACTTACATTTCAAGTCAGACTTACTTTCGTCCGAGACTTACATTTCAAGTCAGACTTACTTTCGTCCGAGACTTACATTTCAAGTCAGACTTACTTTCGTCCGAGACTTACATTTTAAGTCATACTTACATTAATATCAAACTTATATTAACCTACGACTTACTTTTATTCCCAGACATCTTGATCCACACTGACATTGAAAACTACTCATACATCTAAAGCCACTCAAACATAATCCAAAAAATGATAATGTAATGAAACTTTATAGAAAATTGAAAATTTCGGCAATTAAAAATAAAGTCGAACAGCATTGTAAATGCAACTGCAACACGGAAAATGTTTATAAACTATATGGTGTTCATATTCCATGTATTCATAACATCTTAGATGTAAAACCGGCCGATTTAGAAAAACCTAAAGCATTTCATATTGGAAAATTGGAATTCAATAGTTCGAAGAATATTCTAGTTTATGATGATGAAGACAATCCGATAGGAAAGGGTGATCGGAAAAATGAACAATGCAAAATTTCGGCTCGGAAAACATTTACAACCAAAGTTGAGAACGAAATTTACTTGTATGAAGAACAAGTAACTCCAGATATAGGAGTTAAAAGTCTTGTTCAACGCATTTTAAATCTTCCGTCAATTGACAAGGCAACAAGTTTCATGTTTAATCTTGGGATGAACATCGATTATGATACAATTCAGGCAATTCATTATATATCATCATTAAGAAAAACACATCCAGAAGTGATAGATTTGGCATTAAGTAATGCATATCTTCCGGAAGAATCAGATGAATATCAGCAAAACAAAGACATGATTTCAAAAATTATCGAAGAAGTTTTTGATAATAAAGACAAGGAAAGAGATCCGGATTTTGTTGTAAGAAGGAAGAGGAAAAATGGTTTGTGAAAAAAATATTTATATGAATAAAATGTGTATGATTATTGTTTATAAAAATAGTTAATAAATATGAGAAACTATTTAATTATTTGTTATATAAAGATTCGATATACAGAACAGAATGAAAAAGGATAAAAAAATTAATCAGAAAGATGTAAAAGTTTGGGAGATATAAAAAATATTATAGAGATAAAATATTTCCTGAGAGATAAAAAAGTCAATGAAAGATGCAACAGTGTTAATGAGATGGCATAGTGTCTGAGAGATGCAAGAGTGTCTGAGAGATACAATAGTATCTAACAGAAGCAACAGTGTCTGACAGATGCAACAGTGTCTATGAGATGCAACAGTGTCTATGAGATGCAACAGTGTCTATGAGATGCAACAATGTCTATGAGATGCAACAGTGTCTATGAGATGCAACAGTGTCTATGAAATTTAACAGTGTCTATGAGATGCAACAGTGTCTGACAGATGCAACAGTGTCTGAAAGATGCAACAGTGTCTGACAGATGCAACAGTGTCTATGAGATGCAACAGTGTCTGAAAGATGCAACAGTGTCTGAAAGATGCAACAGTGTCTATGAGATGCAACAGTGTCTATGAAATTTAACAGTGTCTGAAAGATGCAACAGTGTCTATGAGATGCATCAGTGTCTATGAGATGCAACAGTGTTTGAGAGATACAATAGTATCTAACAGAAGCAAAAGTAAGTGATAGATGCAACAGTGACTTATAGATGCAACAGTGTCTATGAAATTTAACAGTGTCTGAGAGATGCAAGAGTGTCTGAGAGATACAATAGTATCTAACAGAAGCAACAGTGTCTGACAGATGCAACAGTGTCTATGAGATGCAACAGTGTCTATGAGATGCAACAGTGTCTATGAGATGCAACAGTGTCTATGAAATTTAACAGTGTCTGAAAGATGCAACAGTGTCTATGAGATGCAACAGTGTCTGACAGATG